AAAGAACAGGACCCTGGCAACCCCCTGTCCCAAGTCTGCCATGATGCTGTTTCTTGCCCTTCTTTTCGCGCTGTTCCTGTCGTCAATCTTGCCACTCCTCTTCCGGCTCTTCTGGTTGGTCTTGGCCATGTCTTGTGCTCACTTCTCGACATGAGATCGGGCCTGGTGTTCTGCAAGACGTTCTCCGTTTCCATTTCTGACCGGTCCCTTTTTCCCATCTCCTACAACTCAGACAAGCCCCCCCACCCAAGCAAGAGCCGAGCGGACCCATCCCTTTCCCCCTTCCCCCTTCCCGCCCCAAAGTCCGACGTATGCGTGTGGCATAAGTCCAGCGGGCCAGGCTAAAGTAGTCCGACCCCAACCCAACCGGTCCCGATCCCAAAAAATCTTGCAACAGAATTGTCAGTGCCACGTCTGGCCCGTTCGAGTAGAGTAGGTAGTCAGCCACACGGGGGCAACGGATGAGAAGCCACGCGCGTGGACCCCACCAGGCCGTGTGTGAAGTTGTGGCTCGGTGGAGTGGATCCCCGATCTCTGGGAAGGACGGGCAGTCAGTGAAGACTGTACGTACCGAGGCCCGGTCAACCCGGCCGAGTCCAGCGACCACTGGACTGCCTGCCCACTGCTGGCCCTATGTTCGACTCGAATCAGACAACACTTGAAGCAATAGCGCCGGTACGTATCTTTCCCCCCTCATCATGAGCAAGATGAGGTAATACCGCTCTTGACACATGATTTCGCGCTACCCCTGCAAGGCGGGTCATCCCTGCTTGTGCCTTTCACACGTCTGCAGAACGCGCTTGCCCGTTTTCTATCAACAAGTGCTAGCTGCATCATGAACGGGACGCCTGCTGCCTATCGGTGAAGCTCGATTGCTGGCCATCAAAACTTGCCCAAATATTCAAACACCTGCCTGCATTTTGCCTCAAAGCTGTGTCAAGCTTAAATTTGCATTGATCCATGGATTCTTCTGTTTTCACCATCAAATATTTGCTTCGTCATGGCCTCCAATAACGGCACATGGCATAAAACCTCGGTGCAATCCGCACAGGAACAAGGCCACGCCTATTCGACCACCACAACCATCGCTGGAAATAAGCGCACTCGCTCTGAAGCTTCGCATCCCGTAGCGCCACGGCCGACTACCCTTCCAAGTCGCGCCTTGGGTGTACAACGGACATCGAGTCTGCCTCCAGGCCCCCCACGATTGACGCCGAGCCCGATCACCTCTTTAGAGCTTACCTCCCACCAGGGGCCGTCCGAATACACGCAACGGAATGTCATACAGTCCACCCCGTCCTCTTCTTCCGACCCTTTACTCGCGCTTGCTCATCCATACTATGGCCTTCCTCGGCCACTGATCCGGAACTTGTACGGTCTTGGCATCAAGATTATGTATCCATGGCAGAAGGCTTGCCTCCGCGGACCGGGGCTTTTGTCTGGGGAGAGAAATCTTGTCTATAGTGCCCCAACCGGTGGTGGAAAGTCTCTGGTCGCTGATGGCAAGTTTACCCTCCTATCATGCCATTCCCGAGATGTCCTGCTAACCCCGTCACAGTGCTGATGCTGAAGAGGGTTCTCGAAGAAAAGAATGCAAAGGTGCTGCTAGTGCTGCCTTACGTTGCTCTCGTACAAGAGAAAGTACGATGGCTTCGGAACATCGTTCAGGGGATGCCCAAGCCCATAGACGAAATTGACGATGAAAAGCGGATCTGGAGGCGGCGTGCCGACGAAGATTCCATCAGAGTCATTGGATTTTTTGGAGGTAGCAAGATCAAGCCCACATGGGCGGATTTCGATATTGGTGTTTGCACAATCGAAAAGGTATGTGATCCGCAGCTGCACCGATGTATGTTTCAACTAAATGCGAGTAACAGGCGAATGCACTTGTAAACACTGCCATCGACGATTGTTCGATCAAGCACTTGAAAGCCGTCGTCTTAGATGAGCTTCACATGATCGATGATGACCACCGCGGATACCTCATGGAACTCATGGGGACAAAGTTGCTCAGTTTACCCCAACCAGTCCAAATCATTGGCATGAGCGCTACGATGTCTGTCAGTATTGCGTAGAAACCCGAGCTTCATCTGAGGCTGTCTCCTAACTTTAGTCTATAGAACATCAACCTTTTGGCTAATTGGCTGGGAGCTCACTCTTACGAAACACGGTATCGGCCGGTGCCAATCGAGGAGCATCTCGTCTACGAAGGAAACATCTATCCTGCCGTCACAACGAGCGAGCTGCTCAAAACGGCCAATGAGTTGAAGACGCAACAGCTCCAAAATACCAGGGCCATAAGGCGCATCGAGTCGTCAGATCACAAGGAATTCAAAGATCCCGTGCTGAATGCAGTTGTCTCCCTTGCCAGCGAGACTGCCAGGTCTGGCTACGGTGTGTTGGTCTTTGCGAGCAGTCGTCCTGGGTGCGAATCAGATGCTCGCTGGATCGCTAGGGTTATGCCCGCCTCAAACGAACTTGACCCTGCCCTGGTTGACAAAAGAATCGATCTACTTGCTGAGTTGCGAAGTCTCGGAACCGGAATAGACCCTGTCCTCGAAGAGACGGTTCCTGCGGGAGTTGCATTCCATCGTGAGTTTTCCTGAGCGCTTTCTATACAAACCACTATACAAAGCATTGGCTGATCGTTCATTAGACGTAGGTCTGCCGCCTCGTGCTTTTGAACCGGGTTGCTGATCTTTCTATAGGCTGGACTCACAACAGAGGAGCGCGAGATCATTGCCAGTGCCTATGATTCCGGTGTCATCAAAGTATGCATAGCTACTTGCAGCCTTGCTGCGGGTATCAATTTGTAGGTTCCGCGAATAAATGGACTGATTCGTGACCTAATACTTGCTAGACCTGCTCGAAGGGTTATACTTCATAATGCCCGCATGGGGCGAGACTTCGTCGGGCCATCTATGCTCCGGCAAATGCGCGGACGCGCTGGTCGCAAGGGCAAAGACGAAGTCGGAGAAACCTACTTATGTTGTCGAAAAGACGATCTTGAGCAGGTGGTGGACCTGATGCATGCAGACATGCCCCAGATCACGAGTGGCTTGATAACAGACAAGCAGCGCATACAGAGGTGAGGAGGTTGCGTCGAAGGTTTTACGACTAAGCTAATTATCCCAGGGCGTTACTCGAGGTCATCGCGGTACGGCTTGCAACTAGTAAAGATGCCCTGGATGACTATTTGAGAAAGACCTTGCTAGCACACGCTGGACCACCGGAGCCATTGCAAGAATGTGTTGAGACGAGTCTCAAGAATCTCCAATCAATGGGGTTCATTACGGCGGACATACTCGGCAACTATCAACCCACGAAATTAGGTCACGCCATCGTAGCCTCTGCCTTGGATCCCGATGATGGAGTGTTTATTCACAAAGAATTGGAGAAGGCGCTCCAAGCCTTCGTAATGGACGGCGAGATGCATATTCTTTACACATTCACCCCTGTCCACGATTTCGGCACCAACATCAATTGGCAAGTATTCCGCAACGAAATGGAAAACTTGGACGATAGCGGACACCGCGTGCTCGGGTTTCTCGGGCTTAAACGTGCTGTGATCAACCGATTGTAAGTCGTGTCGACCCTTCTTCCGATGTCGCTAACCGTCATCAGGGCACAAGGTAGTACACTGAAGGAGACGACACCCGAGGAAAAGGAAATCGTCCGTGTACACCGTCGGTTCTACCTGGCCTTTCAGTTACGAGACTTGTGCAACGAAGTGCCGGTCCACGCCGTTGCGCGCAAGTACGATGTGCCTCGTGGCGCGGTTCAAAACCTCTCGCAGACCTGCCACGGGTTCGCAGCTGGTATGATCAAATTTTGTGAGCATATGGGCTGGGGGTGAGTCGTCCTTTGGTCTGCACAACACGCCAGATCACTAATCGTACGGTGCAGCGTCATGTCTGCTGCGTTGGACCATTTCTCGGATCGGTTGAGAGCAGGCGCAAAGTCGGACTTGTTGGCCTTAGCACAGATTACCTTCGTAAAGAGCCGAACCGCGTACGTTGCGCGACCTCAAGTCACGTCGGGAATGTGTCTAACTTTGTGAAACAGGAGAGTTTTCTGGGAAAACGGCTTTCGAAGCGTCGCGGCTGTTGCGAATGCAGATCCTAAAGAACTGTTACCTATCCTTATGCAGGCAAGCAGGTACTCCACCTGATCAAGGGATCACTACTCACAACCAGACAGGCGCAACCGAGCAAGCTTCGAATCAAAGGGCAGGAGAATATCAAGTATGAGGAGAAGCTCATGGCCAAGGCTCAGGTCATTTCGAACTCGGCCAACCGACTATGGCGTAAGTGAGGACGGTGACGACATTTGGCACACCGCAACTGACAAGATTAAACAGAAATGCAGATGCAACAAGAGGTTTATGAGGAAGAAGGATGATGCAAACCAACAAACGGGCAGAGGGACCGGAGAAAGCGGGTTGGTGCGGTCAGCCCCTGGGCTGCAGCATGACCTTTGCATGCCTACTGGATGCATCGTACCCGGGCAGTTGGCGGTGTCGCTCATAGGCGCATTTCCACCACTTCCCGCAGACGCAGATGCGTATGTATGTATGCATGCCGCTGCACACCCGTCAATTATTGGTGATAAAGACGCCCAACCTGCATTGCATCGGACGGCAGCCCCGCCGACGTCCTTCGCAGACCGGTCTAACGCGATCGACAGCCTGTGATAGAGCTCCGCTTCCACTCCCACCGCCACTCTAGACTTTCCGTAGCTTCTCAGTGGTCTGACTAGCCGCGGCCGGGAACAAACAAAGGCCATGCCCCAAAAGCCGCCGTCAGGTCGGCGAAGAATAAGATGGGTGTCAACGGCGCGAGACGTGAAAAAGCAACATTGGCTCGTCACATGGACAAATACGGGATGGTGGTGCGTTGCGGTGCGGTGCGGCGATTGCGTGCGTCCCGTTCCGGAGTTGCGCGGGGCCAAGGGCCAAGCCATAGGTAACAGACAAGAGGCACAAGAAAGAAAGACATGGGATGGAACGCAGACCGAGGTGGGTGGCATTCCCGAGAAAAGTCGCTAGCCAAGCACCAAGGCCGAGGGGAGAGACAGGCGCAGAACTTCGGTTGCGACTGACGGAGACTGGCGAATGGTGTCAAGCCGACACCAAGTTGTAGGTGACACCTGACATGCACTCGACTCTTCCATGCGACGATAGAACCGTTCATGCACTAGTTACACAGCAGGAACAGCAGGGAAGCAGAAGACGCAGCGGGAAAAGAAAAATCGACCATGTCCCGAATGGGACTCGGCCGGCGGACTCCTAGTGACCCAGATGCGCCTCGCCATGGTTGGCGGTCGCGAGGCTGCTGGGCGCGGCCAACAAAGGTCTGACAGCCACCGCCCACCGAGCTACCCACCCTCATCCGTCCGCGTCTTGTTCGACTTGTGCATAATTATTACCTCTCCAGTGGTGTGGCTGCCTGACCTTGGTGGTCTTGCGCGCAATCCAAGCCTATATGAAGCCCGTCGCTCCTCGAACCTCATCCATGCCGCTGGAAACGTCTCTCTCCGGTTTGTTGGTTGCAGTCCTGTTCCGGCCATTCATGTCAGCTTTCCAAGGTTGCTAACGATCCTCGATATCCACCGCCGACCGGTACCACCACACCGAAGGAACCGACCAATAGTGTGTCGAGCGCGTTTTTCTCAATGTCTGCCGTCTCTCGCGGTCCAAATGGGGGGAGCAGCAGCAGCAGCAGTACAGGAGATGTTGTGCGGACCTTGGGCGATGTCATGAGGACATCAACAGCCGACTCCCCGAGTGTTATTGTCCTTGATGACACATTCGAGGAGAAGAAGCGAAAAGACGAACCCAGCCCTCGCGAGGACTTGTGGTTGACATCCTCAGATGGCCGATACAACTCGGCCATTATTCCGCTTCGTGTTGGCCGAGTCCCAAACCAAGAGATTTTTCAAGTTCACAGAGACATTTTGGTGACGACCGAATACTTCCGCAAAGCGCTCTGTGGCGATTTCAAAGAGGCCGAGGCACAATCGATGGATTTTCCAGAAGAAGACCCCGCCATATTCCACTTTCTCGTCGCCTTTCTTTACCAGAAAAGCTTCATTCCTATCAAGCCCGCCGCATCGGCGTTGGACCAGGAGGAGTCGGCCCGGGGCAAAGCACAAGAAATCGGATATCAAAGCGAATCAGAATCGGAAATTTCATCGTCGGAGGCCAGTGATGCCAGCGCTAGAAGTCGACTACGGGCGCAGCGGCGGCAACGGCGGCGAGAGCGGCAATGGGAGCGTCAGAACCGCAAGCAACCCGGCGCACACCGCCCAGATTGCAGATGTCCGCGCTGCACCACCACGACCGGGTTCACGTCGCCATGCTGGAATTGTGGCGTCGGCCGCTCAAGGCCGATGCCCGGCGGACCCATGCCGCACATGATGCCAGGGCCTCCCGTGCCTCTCACGCGGCCAGCATTCATCCCTCCGCACCGCCGGCGTCGCAGTCGGCCCCAGATTCTCACACCGCCTGGTTCAACACCCTCGGTTGACAATGCCGCGTCGGGTAACGAGGACTTCATGGATGGCGATCGTATACGGGGTGAAGACATGCGAACCTGGCTCCTGACGTATGAGCTCAGCCTGGACGTATACATCACCGCCAACAAGTTCCTGATGGACGACTTCAAAACGGCAATCATGCGTCACTGTGTCGACATGCTCGAGTCCGCCGGGTCCGATGCAGCCCAGCCGGCCGTTTTGGCGTTGTGCTCGAAGCTGTACTCAGGAGTGCCCGAGTCCGACGGTCTGTTGAAGATGGTATTTGCCAGAGTCGGCTTTCTGCAGCCGCTTTTGTGGCAGAGAGCACCGCAGCAGACGTCCGAGTTCTTGATCGGCCACCCGGAGGTGGCGGCCCTGATGCTCCGCGAGACGGCGATGCGCAGAGAAGAGGACATGGGGAGCAGGACGCTTCCGTCCATGGAACGAGCAACGCATACCCATCCAATGCCCGTCTGGCCGGTCGGCGCGCCTCTGCCTCCGCATATGCGGCATCCCCCGCCACCGCCACCGCAACCTCACTGGCACCCGGCTCCGTGGTGATGTGTCCGACGAGGAGCGACGTGATCTTTTCCTCTCTATTCGTGCGCATGGCACGGCTACTTGCTATTGGGACCAGAAACACGAACACTGATTTTTTGTCAATATTCTGTCCAATGGTGTTTGTGAAGTGTTTTCGGTTTCAAAATGTAGTCTAGTAACGTTGGTTGTTGAGGCAAAAGTTTGTTTGATGGAGCCCTTCCAGCGGGTTGTATTATCCCAGCTTCCCATCCACAGGGGACCATTGCTGTGTGGTTGTTACCCCATCATTCTGAAGCAGAATAACATACCCCAGAGTGTACTATTGCGCCTCAGTCCGTTCATCCGATCGGCGTATGCAGGTCCCTTTCCTGTGGCGCATGTGATATATTGATATGAGGTGGTACTCGATGGTATCATGGAACTGAACTAGAACCGCGCGACTCATCACTCCTGGTCCAAAGGCAGGGGTGGTTCATTGAGTTGGGCCGAAACAGAGCAACAAACACGTTTTCCCCATGACCCCGATGCCGTTGCATCCGAATGTCGTCACAGATGATGCCGTGCAGTTAGCTTCATAGCAAATTTGCTGACCTGTGGTTCCCTTCAGCCGTGAAGAACAACCCATCTCTTTTTCTTTCGTGTGAGATGGTGTTGTGCGTGACCAACCCACAGCTCGTCCGGTGCGGAGAAATTGCAGCATCCAGCTTCGGTACATGATTAGGGAGAATCACCGAGCCCAGCCCCCCTCCCGGGGTCCCCGCAAACTATTCACGATTCTGGGGTTCAAGCTCCGGAACCCCACCATTGGTGTTGTTTACCCCACAAGACGGAGCCTAAACCAGAGTGTAAGGACGGGCGGCACCAGTTCCTGATGGTTAGCCTGGATTCGGATGACGAGGTTAGGTTTTGCTTAATTTCCCATGCCCTTGGGATCACGCCCCTTCCCCCCGGTTCCGTCGCTTCGTCTTGGGCCGAAGCCGTTGCGAAGCTGGCCATGTATATATCCGCCAAGTAGCCCTTAGGATCCGGGCATCGTGAGACTGGCCTCACGGTGCTGAACCCCCGGGAGCTCGAAAGTTGTGTTTCCTCCTGCCCTGCAATGCCGTCGACACTCACTACCGCGGTGGTCACCGCCCTCGCGGCCGCCGGCGCCGTAGCTGCGCTCCCCCAGGCACAAGCCCGCCAGATGCAGACGCATCTCCTCGCCGAGACGGACTACGGAAGCTTCCAGGGTGCGTATTCCGAGACGTACAACATTTCGTACTGGCAGAAGATTCCCTACGCAGCGCCGCCCGTGGGAGAGAACCGGTTCCGTGGACCGCAGCCGCCGCAGAGTATCGAGGGGGTCTATGACTCGAGCCAGCCGTTTGACATGTGCCCGCAGCGGACGGTGAGTCTCTGGCTCCCATGCGAGCGAAAGTCGTCAGAGGACGGTGTAGGCTGACGAAAACCGGGTTTGCAGGTCAATGGCTCCGAAGACTGTCTGTATCTTGGCCTCTACTCACGTCCCTGGACGAAATCGCAGCCCCTGAAGCCAGTGGTGTAAGTAGTCTCTGGCGTCGAAAAGAGTCGTCTCCCAGCTGACCATCAACGCCGACAGTGTGACTTTCTACGGGGGAGGTTTCATTCAAGGCAGTGCTTATTTCTCGATCCCGCCATCCGCTTACCCGATCCTCAACGTCTCCGACGCCTCAGACATGCTTTTCGTATATCCTAACTATCGCACGAATGCCTTCGGCCTCCTCCCAGGCAAAGAAATCGCTGCTGACCCCAAGTCCGACCTCAACCCGGGCCGTAAGTAGATTCGTTGGAATATAACATGGCGAAAATACTGACATTGCGCGCGAAGTCCTCGACCAGGAAGCCGTGCTGAAATGGACACAAAAGTATATTGCGCAGTTCGGTGGAAACCCGGACGACGTCACGATATGGGGCCAGTCGGCCGGCGGGGGTAGCGTGCTCGCCCAGGCACTCGGCAGGGGAGGGAAGCAGAAGCTGTTCCGCAAGGCGATGGCGAGCAGCCCGTTCTGGCCGAAGACGTACCGTTACGACAGCGCCGAGGCCCAGGCTCTCTACGATGAGCTTGCGAGACGCACGGGTTGTGCTGGAGCGGACAGCTTGACATGCTTGAAAAAAGCCGAGGTGCAAACGATCCGGGATGCCAGCCTCTCGATTTCGACTTCACATCAGTACAACACGTCTTCGTTTACGTGGTCGCCCGTGATCGACGGGGAGTTTCTGCGGGAACCGTTGAGCGAGGCAACCGAAAAGGGGAACGTGAACATGGACCTGGCTTTTGCGCTTCACAACACACATGAGGGCGAGAACTTCATCCCGCCCGGGCTGCAGAGCGAGGCTGGTTCGGGGTCGCCTTCTTTCAATTCGAGTGAGGCGTCGTTTGAGAAATGGCTCAGAGGATTTCTTCCCGGATTTGGTGACTGCGAGATCGAGGCCGTGAAGAAGCTCTACCCCCCGGCCGGAACAACGGAGACCATCTCATATAACACCACATATGTGAGGGCTGGTCTTGTTTTCAGGGACGCTGTGTTGTCGTGCCCTGCGTTTTGGTTCGCAGGCTCGGCCTCAAAGGGCGGGTGGTTGGGCGAGTATTCGCTCAACCCATCCAAGCACGCCAGTGATACCGTTTGGGTAAGTTGATCTCGATCGACGGAAAGGGCAACCAACTGACAGTAATCAGTGGAATCAGGTCAACGCGGTGCAGAAGACGGATCCAGCCCGTTACCAAGGCTATGCTGGTAGGCGTTTCGAGAAAGCTCTCATTGAACGCTACTCTGACTAACACTTTCAGGCGCTTTTGCATCCTTCTTCCAGATTGGTGACCCTAACGCTCTCAAACTGTCGCCATCGACGGCGGCCGGAGTGCCCTCCCTGAAAGAAAAAAAAGAATGGACAATTGTGGACGCGGGTTTTGCGACCGCTGAGTTGGACCATTTGGAAAAGAGATGCGGCTTTTGGAGGAAGACAGCATCAAAGATACCCATCTAAAGTGCCCTTGGCATTGTAAACATGTAGAGGAGAACAGATTAGTCAATGGGGTTGTCCCGCAGCTTGAAGAGCTCCCTCATCACGTCCTCAGTCTTGGAGCGCAGCGCAGAGTGATACAGCTGATTCGTCTCGTATACTTTGCATCCCTTGACTAGGACGGCCGTGTCCCTGGCGAATTGATTGTCGACGTACATGTCGTCAATGTAGCTGGCGGCATATACAGGAACCTCGTTGTTGCGAAGTTGCTCATGGTCGTACAGGTCCTCGGGCCAGTCGGTAAACTTGGCGAGAATCTCGGCGACCTCGCGCAGTTCAATCAGTTCCGGATACGTTTCGAAGTGCAGCGGGAAAATCATCTCTCCAGAGAAGAAGAGGGGAGGCCCGGCGACCTCGGAGATTGTAGGCTCTTGTGCCAACCAGGAGAACTGCTCCAAAGACTTGCCGACTCTGTAAGCCGCCCAGTCAGAAGCCCAGCCTGGCTTTTCGCAGTAGATGGCCTCGTGGAGGATAGCGTAGATGATGTGGTTGTCGAATCCTGTGGCGTTCTCAATATCGGAGAGGCTTGAGCGGGTGAAAAAACCGAAATTCTCGAGGTCTGTCTTCAACTTGAGAATGACGCTGTGGACAGAATCGAGACCGCCGTGGCCGCCGAATGCGAGTCCCAAGGTAAGCAGCCGAGGCACAGTGAGAAAGCCGCCACCGGGGAGGTTGATCTTTTTCTTATTCTGGATGAACCGGGCCACCTGATGAACATTCTCAATATCCTCAGGGTACTTCTCGTAGTAGGCGTGGTTCCTCTCCATGACTTTCTTGAAGGTTGCTTCGTATACCTGCTCCGGTTTCTTGCCGACGGGGGCAAGACCGCCAGTCAGGAAGCACTCGCGCAAAGCTTCGGGGTACTTGGAGAGGTAGGTCAGAATGACGAAACCACCAAAAGACTGTCCGAAAAGGGACCATTTCTTCTTCTCCTCCGGGAAATCCTTTGTGAGGTAGGCCCTCACGGCTTCGCAGTCCTTGACGATGTTGTCTTGACGAAGCAGCTTGAGATGATCGGCCTGTTTCTGAGCATCGCCATGGAGTGCTAGAGCAGCAGCTGACACGGGCGAGCTCAGGCCGACGCCTCTGTAGTCGAGGAACAGAACCTGATATCCCCGATCAAGTGCGGTACGGGTGACAGGGCTGTCTTGAGGCTCTGGATTGCCAAATCCGGGTCCTCCCTGCAGGAACACCATCCATGGCTTTTGCTCAGCTTGCCTCTTCTCAGACTCAGTCGGGGCAACTACGGGTCTCTCGTGCTTGGTGACACTTCTGCCGAAGAGCCTAAGGACGCCTGCAGACTGGTTGTTGTAGTCTTTGGGTACCTCAAAGAAGAGCTCCGATACGAGGAATTGTCCTTAGAGATGCGTTAGTGTTGTTTCTATGCGTATAAGACGCGACGAGACGGTATCTGGGTGAACTTACCTGGAATGACATGGGATCTCTTGCTCAGCAGCTTTGCTGCATTGATCACTTTGGACGCCATGATGGAACTGAAAACCCCCAAGGAAAGATACAGAAAATACTGAACTGATCTTTGCAGAGAAGAATGCTTGACGTGGCAGATTGTAAGTTCGATGGTTTGAGCGACTTTGGCAACCCCGCGCAGTCGTTGAATGAGATAAGTGCAGTGAGACGTCGCACCTTCTCAGAACGGCAACTGGGGCTTTCGCACAGTGTAAGCAGCGGCGACCTTTGCCGGAGGACACAGTGCAATTTCCCGATCAAACCCCACAAGCTGCTTCTTGCCTCGAAACTTCATCTTCCTGGATGTCATTCCAATAAATATGCTTTGCTGTAGTCTTATTAGATTCTGCGGGTTATCTCTTGCGGGAAAGCACGATCAAAAAGCAACATTTGTCGAAGCTGTGCAAGAACAAGTGTGAATTAGTGCAGGCTGGAAGTGCATGAGTAGCTTCATCAGCTGTCGTCCTCTGATGCACCCTGAAAACATACTGTAATACCAAGTGGAGTGGATTCTAAGCTCTGCTAGTAACTTATCACTCACTTGGCTGGCTAGCTTAGTCTTAAGTCTGTTGATGGGCTTCAGGCAGGAGACTTGCCAAGTCCCAATGCCGAAAGCATATTATATATTGCATCCCAAGGACGACGGAATGATTATCGAATTTTGGACAGTCTTGAAAGTAACCAAATTCTTCTTGGCTTCGCCTTGGTTGAGTTTTGGGTAATTATGGCCTACCTAGAAGGTATGGTTTGATAGGCTCACTTTCATCGAGGTACAGCTCGGTCTAGACCTCTTACATAAGCTTGGCGCCGATAGTCAGCCAATGACATCAGCCCCCACGCCTAGGATTCGAAGCGTTGCTCGGCTCGGCAAAATATGGTCGGGACTCCAAGCCCATGGACCGCGCGCGCCCCGTCGCCCTTCCCACTTTGTGACTGACTGTCCGGGGGACAAGCGTCCTGGCGGCAAAGATGGGCAGCGAAACGAAAGTCTCCCCATCACTCCAAACATCAAAGACGTCCCTCCGCCCCTTCATGCCACATCCCACATGCTCCGATCGCGAAGTCACAAACAGTGGGATGAATTATATACATCTCACCCAAACGCTGGTTGATTCTTTCAACGCCCTCGCCGATGAAGTCCAGATCCTGACCGACAGGAAGACGATCCTGGAGCACAAGCTGAGGTTCGCTCACGAACAGGTACGGAGAACCCTCGAAACACACGCGAGTGGGTTTGTCAGCCGCCGCCCGGCGCCATGCGACACTCTCACACACGCACCCCTTCCCCTTGCCTTGCATGATGAGCAACCTTAGCTCTAGATCAAGAGCTTCTCTATACTACTTAGGAGCAAAGACCGACCACTTTTTACCATTTCCTGACTTGCGGCTCCATGTTTCTTGCTTCGTCGTCCGGCCAGCCTCGGTGATAACTCATGCTGACCCGACAGTGCCTTCAGTACCAATACCTCGCCGACAAACATGCACCTGCTGCTCCCGAGATTTCAGAAGTACTGGCAAAGCTACAGCTGCCTCCCGAACTAGCAAATCCATCTCTCGAAGAAGCTTCCCAAGCAGTCCCTCTCCCGAAGCGCAATAAGCTGGACACCCGGAACCAAATCGCCCTCATCATCCGAGACGGCCGGCGCGTCGCCCAACAACTGTCGTCCGTCGGCGAAACGAGCAAGACGAGCGACTCTAGCAGACAGACCTCTTCCCGTGAAGCCGAAACCGGAACCTCCATGTCGACTGTGCTCGAGCAGGACTTTACAATCGAGGGCAAGAAGGGACACCTGGAATGTCCTTTCTCCGCACCAAAGACGGCGGAGGTGGATGGCGCCGTCGAGCGTGATGCGCGAAGCGCGGAAAACGGGTCGCAGGACCCCACGCCACACCACTCCGCCGACCCCATTTGCGCTGCTATGCTCGAAGAATCCACGTCTCAGGCAGCTGCCAACGGCGGCTCGCCCGCGAAGTGCCCGATCCGTTACCTCGATCAACACTCCCCCGAAGAGATTGCGCACTACGTCGAAACACACAAGCACGAACTGCCTCGCAGCCATGAGGTCTGCGTGAGGAGATACCAGAAGAACGAGGTGCAGATCAAGAAGCTAGATGCAAAGTACGGCAACCTGGTGAACATGATACAAGGACTTAGTGCGCTGCACCAGCCCATGCTGCCATCGTCTCAGCAGGAGCAGGAAGAGATTGACCGGGCGTCGAACGAGAGGGTTGAGAACTGGGCAAAGGCCGTCACTGCTACCGCCACTGACGATGCCGAACAGTCGCTGCCGGCGCTGGAGGATGCCGAGGAGGCGCGGCAGAGTCACTTCGATCGGCCCCTGAAGGAGGTTCGGGTAGGTGAGTCACCTAGCCGACCGTGGGGCATCTCCGTTCCAGTGTACGAACGCAACGGCCTGGATGGCGACGAACGGCCTCCCATGTCCCCGCCACCTGCTCCTGTCTTCATGCCATCGGGCACAGACGTCGGGGAGACACCGGAGGACATCCCGGCGAAGACTGGCAAGTGTCCATTCGACCATACAAAGATGGCGGCAATGGCCGCGCCCCGCGAAGATCCCCGACCCGTCTCACCGCCGCCGGCGCCCATGTTCATGCCCAACGGAACGAGCGACCACGCCGGGTCTGCCCCAAAGACTGGAGGTAAATGCCCGTTTGACCATGCTCAGCTGGCTGCTATGGGCTTCACCTCTCCGACGCCCAACACCGGCGAGCAGACCTTCGTGCACCCAGAGCCAGAGCCAGACCCGGTGGAACTCCCCTCAACACCAGTCAAGCCCCAGCCCCAGACTTCACACAGTCCTCCGCCGCCTCAGCCAGCCTTCATAAACCCGCCTCTAGATGCATACAAGCAACCCCTCGCTGGCGGTGTCCCTCAGATGGTGTTCACAGGACCTGTCTTCATTGGTTACCCTATCGAGCAAGCGATACAATTCATGCAGCATTTTCAGGGACGGCAATAATCCTTCTCCGCCGTCCCCTACGACATTTTCTTCTCACACGCAGTTACAACAGTCGGTTTTGGTATCGGGATGGAGGCGTTTGTCTTATTTTAGCGAAGGCGTTGGGATGGGACTTTTGATACATTGCTTCACTTCACCTTCGAGCTTCCGTGGCGTAGCACGAGTTTTACGTACAGATTGACGAAGTCCGGGCAAAAGGGATGATTGGACGTAGGGGATAGCAGACAGAACTCGTCCGTATGATACCACAAGACACAAAATATGAGATACTTGGTCATGACATAGTTCACGCGTTGAGTTCCTGGCTACGTTCATTTTACTTAATTTCATGATGCGCCTGGTGTCTAGTAGTCCAATTCTAAGTCTACCACGGTCGGCGTATAGGCCGACCCACGCCTTAATCCGCATCTTTGAACCCGGTGTTCTCCTCATCCCGGGCATTGTCACCTTTGTGTTTAGCCCCTTGCCCCTTGAGGCCGTCCCCTTCGTTGTCGTCGTCGTCATCGTCATAGTACCCGCCAACCTGGGTCTCCTCGTCATCCACTGCCTCGCGGGCCCAGAGCGAAATATCGTCGTCGTCCATAAGCGCAGCCACGTCCTCGGGGTCAACGAGGCCATTCTCGACGTCAAAGTAATCCGGCGCTCCTTCTCTCCCGGGGGCTACGGCGCCCTCGGACTCGGCCTGCTCCAGCGCCAGCTCAGCGGCGCGAGCCATGGTGCGGTTGTAGATAACGTAGCCGACGACCAGACCGACGACGCCGCCAAGGATCATGGAGATATAGTTGATGGCCTTGCCACCGGCGGACATCTCGTCGCCTTTTTCAGCGAGAAGAGCCAAGCGACTGCCGATGAAGACGTGGACAAGCAGCTTGGGGCTTTTTGATGTTAGTCGTTGCGTTGTGACAATACATGCAGGAGGAGGGAGGCTTACCTTGCCAGAGCTGTCGAGACTGCGAAAGCCCACGGCTTGATCGAGGGAATGGTCGAAAGGAAGCCGTTGGACAAACTGTACGGCAAGGGACAAAAGCGCACAGCCGTCAACATCTTTATGCCGTCTTTCCTCAGGACCTGTCCCAGCGCAATGAACCTATGATCCTGCCCGACCAGCCTATGGACGTAGCTGCTGAATATCGTTCGGCTTGTGTAAAACGCCGTCAAGCTGCCCGCCACCGTCGCCGTCGCGACAATCGGATAACCCAACGGGAAGCCGTAGACGAAGCCTGACACGGAGATGGCCGTGCTGTACCCAATCATGGGCGGGAAGGCCGTCATGAACGTAAAGGCCCAGATAATCAGCCACCCTCCCGGGAGCGCCCTCCACTTTTGTGATATCGGAGCCAGCCACTTGAAGATTGCATGCGAGTAGATGAGAAAGAGCAGGCCGAGGACGTTGACGACAAGCAGGAATACAGCGACCGCAACACGCTGGACGGGAGAGAGGCCGAGGTACATGGTCCATAACCTGTTACCGGTCTTGACTGCTGACTGGATCGCGCGGTTGACGGCTGAGAGGGCGGTCGTCTTACGGTTGCCAAAGCGGGCGCTGGACAGGCGGCGGGATGATCGCGACGTGGACCATGGCGGGCGGATGTCGCTGCGGTCCTCTGGGGATGAAGGATTTGGGGAGATGGAAAGCGCCCGCGCTGCGGACTCGTAGTCGGCCGGCATCGTGGACGGTCGGTTCACTGGGTTGGGACCGGAGCCTCCGGATGAGGTGTGCCGCGGGGCAGTCGGGCGGATCGAGGGGTTCGTTGTTCTAGTCTAGGTGTGATTCGCAATTGATAGGCTCGGCACTCATCCAGCCATTTCGAATGAAAACAAAACAGGAAGAAGGAAACTAGGATGAGGTGTGGGAGAGAGCTTTGTCGAGGGAGAGGAACGGACGAGACCGCGGTCGCGACGTTCGAAGCGCTGACTTGCAAGCCTACAAGCGATGAGGTAAGCTAAGCCACTGGCACAGCTGCGCAAAAGGTGGTAGTGTCAGCCAAGGTTTCTATTCTCGATCGACGACGCGCGGGTCCCGTTCAGGCGCGGTGGACTGGCAACTGGGTACCGACCTATCTTACTGGGATTCCACAGCTTCTCGAAGTTTGCGCCTCTCAAAAGTATGAGCAAAACGGCAGGTTGAGCATTACGACAACTTGTAAACTTAGTGATGAGGAACCTCAACGAAAGCAAACGGGCGAGGCGACTGAAGATGCAGCTCAGAGCGTTAAACGGGAAAGGAACGTTTCATAGGCAAACGCAGTGAAGGTGTCTCACGTTCCTGCGGACGGTTTCAATCGCTTGGCATACAGGGGGCTCGATGCATGTCCGCACGACCCCAAAACGGCAATTGCCAGAGGCAGCAGGCGGCACTAGGCAGGCGGCAAGCTGCGACAGCGACAGCTGTGCATCCCGTCCGGCTCGGTTTGCCTACCGACCGAGCGCCCGGCCTAAATCCGCCCCAGAGCCCGGGGCTCCACACAAGCTGGAAGCTTTCGATGCTCCTTCCCTGCATGAACTTCAGAACGAAGCGGCTCTTCTACCCGGCACCTCACCGCCGCATTCTGCCAAACGCTTTACATTCTAGGTACTGCCGACTCAAAAGATTTGAAAAAGGGAGAACCGCTCCCTGGAGCGTCTTTCTGACATTTCTACTCGTTCTTTCTAGTTTCTTTTCTTTCGTTCTACTTTCGTCATCGCCGCCCACTAGGACCCTTGGGAGGGTCCCTCACCAGGAGCCTAACCTTGCCATCCCCGATCTCCACTCCTTGACTCAGGATGTCAACCTCCTCCTTGCTTTCATCCGCACTCGACGTCCCTTCGCGAGCCAACGACTTGTCGTAGCTTCGAGCATCAATGCCCAGAATCCCTCCCATGTTGTTGCGGTCTCCTGGAACGGAGAATTCGCGGTAGGCGTACCTCCACTCATTCAGAAAGTTGCGAATCGCCTTACCCACTTTGTCCTTGCCGTTCTTGCTATGATGCCCAGTACCAGTGATGGCGTAGATCGATCTGCTCTCCTTAACATTTTCCATCAACACACGCTCTAGGTACTCTACTGCTTCCTCCGGGTGAAGCCCATGGAGGTCGACGTAGATCTCTAGGCTGTTCGCGTTGCCCCTATTACGCTCCTCGTACAACTCACGAGCAGCCTCCCTATGAGCTTTGCGCATGAGGTCGTTCTCGCTCTGACCTCTGAGGCTCAGGGCTTTGGCAGCCCTTGCGTCATTGCGGTTCCAAGCTTGCGCGGCGCTAGGTAAATGATTAGCTCTTCCCTTGGACCGCTGACACTGATTTTGACTCACCTCTGAAGGAACTTGTTGCGGAGACCGCCATGCTTGATGGCCTCTTGTCTGGCTTTGAGGTATGCCTTGTTGGCGCGCTCCCCGGTCTCCAGCCAGGGAATGTGTTTCGGGTTAGGAATTGCCTGCGCCGCGGCACTGTTTTCTCCATTTCGAATATTCGTGGAGCTCCCATTTCGACCGAGCTTCTTTGTGTCTTGGCGGAGGGAAGCAGAACTCGGAGAGGGCGACATTTTGACGATTTCAGCCAGAGAACTAGGGCCAAAGTTTTCCTTGTGATTATGCCCGTGCCCACCGCGCTTTCCATGATGCTTCTTGCCTTGCTTTGCTGCAGCTGAGCCAAGCGTTGGGAAAGCGTCTGCGTCGTCCAGCGACGGGGCTACAGGTTCCCTTGCTTGCTGGTGTCGGCTTCCAGGACGAGATCGGGGCCTTGGGCTTTGGTCTTGATAAAAGGGCTTCAAACCAGGCGGAGGTGTGATTCCAACAGTGATGTTGACGCCTCCAGCGAAACCACCGAGATGTTCCGGGGTGCCCGGGGGAAGTGCCGGGAAAGAGTTCAAGTCCAGGTTGTTGGCTTGCTTTGTTGGCGGAGTGCTGGAGCCATCCAACGCAAGCTTGTTCATTAAATGCGCCGGGTCGTGAGAGAAGATGCAAGTCTCGCCAGCTAAGCAATTGCCCATCACCCAGTATCTTGATGCATCCTGTTAGTCATCACTTTATCGAATGTTTAGAATATGTCAACTCACTTGCAAAGGTGATTACTCAGGTCATGGCTGAATCGGCAATCAGCCCGTAGGCATTGTCCGGTCGACATGTAAAACTTGCAAATGACCCCTGATCTTTGACCACCAGCAGGTGTGGTTGGGCGGCCTTCTGCAGCTAGAGCTTTGCCAATGAGTGAAGTCTTGGAGTCATCAGGGTGCAACGCAGCGCTAAATCCATTCTCTTGCGCCTGGCTCTCCATGATGGACACTATCGTTGCGCTCAGGTCGTACCCATGTAGCGCAAGAGCAGCTTCAATCTCATCGTCAGTTCTCGTCTGACCGAGTATTGAGCGAAGCATATCGTAAGGAGACATGTCAGCCTGCTGCGATGACATGGACGAGAACTCGGGGGCGGCAGCGTTCAGACCACTCGACGTCCCGACTGATGAGGTGATGCTTATAGCATCGTCTGCGACGAGCCACTCTACGTTCTCGGTCTGGTAATCGCCGAAAGTTTCCTGGGAAGGGGACCTATCGTTGGCGAACTCATACGCGTTCAGGTTCGGGCTGTTGGGTATGACGGGGGTCGCGAAGGCAAGTCTCGGAGACGGCCTTGGAGAAGAAAAAGGAGAGGCGGCTGACGATTTCGTTCTCGAGAAAGATGGTACGAAGCCGGGAGGTGCCAGTGGACTGACCCCGAGGCGCGGCGAGCCAGAGAGAGGAGTGGCATTGCCGCGCCATGGGGACGGCGAAGGTCGTCGAAGGATGGTCTGGCGGATGGGAGGAGGCGAGGTTGAGCTGCCGCCGCCATCGCGATATCGCCATAACACATCGAGAATCGCATTGTCTAATGAAGGGCCAGACAAGCTTGTCTGGCTTCGGAGTAGATCCTCCAGCTGATCCGTTTTATCCTCGTCCTCGAGGGTGGCATCCTGGAGGATAGGGAGGCAGATCTCGTAGTGCTCGTCGGAAACCATGATTGCGCGGTTTGGGACCGAGACGCAGCCCGTTCGGGGCAGAATCAGGCAGGTATGATGCGGTAAAGAATATGTATTGTTTGCGAATGTATGGTTTGGAGCCGGTAGCGAGGCAGCGAGGCAGCGAGTCTATGGTATGTCTTCGGTCTGGGGTGGAGCAAGTACTACGTAAGGCAGGCGACGGGCAGACAGAGGCAGTGGCAGGCAGGGCTGAGGGTTGGCGTTGGAGTTGACGTGGGATGTCAGCCTTCGTGTACGGTAAGGTATGGCGGCGGTGGACGAGGTCGAACGAGGAGGCGTTGTGCTTGCAAGAGCAACGTCGGTATTACTAGAGAAAGGATGCGCTAGAGACTTGGTGTCCGTGTAAGAGGTGCTCGACGAGTGATCGAAGGAAAGACGAACGGGATAGCGATGGGACGGGGAGCGAAGATGGTGGGCGGGACTCGATGGTTCCGTCACATGGTTTCGGAGCCAGGGGCGGAGGAGGGATTGTCTCGAGCTCCTTGTCGGGTTGAATGAGGTGGTTGATGCTTCCGTCACAAAGGAGACTTGAAGCTCGAGCTGGAGCTGTTGCAGTCAGGTCCTTGTGTGTTTGTGGTTTCCCTTCTGGCTCTGGCCTGCTTTGTTGCCGACCGTTGGAAGGCGAAGAGCAAGACACGCGTGAGGGGGACGGGAGATGATGGTATGTATGGATGGTGGAGGAAACGCGGCGACAAGGTGCACATACACGTATTACTTCCCCCCTTCAGGCTTCAGCTGATGACTAGGACCAGCTGGGGAACGGGGGGGCCTGCTATGGCGCTATTGCTGTCTGTTGCTGCTGCAAGAGGTACGGATGAGTGGGTGGAGGATAGGCAGCGCGGGCAGGTCTCTCTTTGGGGTGCGTGCGTGGTGCCCGCTGCTAGGGAAGAGGTGCTGCTGCCCACGACAGTGCTAGGTGGTGCTGGCAATAACTACCTTACCTACACAGCTGCCCTGACCGACTGCTGTGGACAGTGGAGGAAGGGATGATGCAGCGGCGCCAGTAATAGCAACACCAGCAGGCCGCCAACAGCTCCCGGGGGTCGGGGTACTGGGGGCCCGGTGTCAGTGAAATCAAAGCCCATCGGTACGTATCCCCTGAGTTGCCTCCAGACATCCAATCCGAAGCGCAGAGCGGGGAGCGGCCCAGCTGGCCGTCCAGTGAGCGATCAAGGTTGGACCGTGGGGTCGCTCCCTCCACTACGGTGGCCCCTCTCTCAGACTCACCACCTCATTAAATAGAACAGGCAGTTCGCCGGGTCTGGCCCAGGTTGGCTCAGATCTCCCCTTTTCCACGTCTCCTGGCTCCAAGGGAACATGACAGTTGGCTGCCAAATTGCGCAGGCCAGGCACGCAAAGCTCAAGCCCGAGGAGTCGAAGACGAGGACACGAAAACCAAACAACCCTCGGTCGAAGATTTGGAGCCTTTGGATGAACTCATCTGATTGGGCCACCTGCAGCAACACTACTGCAGAATAAGGCGACCAGCTAGGCGCCTTGAACCATGACAATGGGTGCGAGCTGAGAGACGCCGAAATCAAGGCTGCGAGTTGCAGGTTTTCTTTCACCGAGAACCTGTTAGAAGGGAGGCCATTATCCTTCCGCCTACACTCCCAGCCAGTCACTGTGCACCCTTTAACCCATCTCACGGCACACCAACCCATTTTTATATCGTGTCCCACAGAGTGTGATGGCTGATACTTGCCGCAGTGGTAAGACCATGTGACCTTCGGTTGGATGATCTTCGTCCAATCTACTGATAGTGACACTAACCTCAGCCCCGGATTTCACACGTGTATTGATGGTAGTGTCTTAATTAATCGGGAACACCATGGAGTTCTGTCACCCGTCAACGTGCAAGTATCAGAAATCAATATCGCTTTTGATGTTCGGCTAACCAGTAACGTTATGTCTCTCTCTCTCTCTCTCTCTCTCTCTCTCTGAGTTGTAGAGACGCACGGCGGCTTCTCAGCGGGCACGTTGCGTCCGCAATTCCTCGCTCACGGCACCTCATCGTCGTCCAAATCACCACCGAATCCGAAGCTGAAGCCTCCCCCGCCGCTTGCTTCGGTATCATTCACACCCACTGCCTCTTCCCACTTTCTCTTCTTCTGGCTGGTTTTCTTCTCCAAGTTTTGCATGGCATCTTCCAGCAGCTCTGGCTGGTCCTGGTGCAGCCGCTCGACAAACAGACCGTACGGGTCCGTTACTTCCTGCTTAAAGCCTGTGACTTGGTCTGCCTTGTCTCTCAGGAAACCCAGGACTTCTGTGAGCTGGTACAGAGAGGTGGATTTGGGCACAAAATTCTGTGTTAGTGCGATGCCGTTCTCCAAGTTGACGACCAAATGCCACCATCCGCTTGGTACATGCAAGACCTCGCCTTCCCTGCAAATGCCTTCAATGCAGCCCGGCTGCTGGCGCGCCTCATCATGGAACTCAAGGAGCCACTCAGCAATGCTGAGCGGGCTCGTCACTTCGCTACTGTCGCTTGAAACGTAGACTCCAGGGACCTGTGCGGTAGGCGGGAACATGATCCAGTACTTGGTTCCCTGGATAACAGCGTTCCACGCGCTGGTGCCGTTAGGGTCTTTGTGAAAGGTTGATCCGCTCCTCTCGGGTCCGATGATGAGCCAGCGGTGGGCAGGTCGCTCCTTGCCAAGCAGTTCGAACAAGTCAGGCCCAAAGCACTCCGGCTTCCAATACGCCGCGCCTTCGTCATGGCCAATTTTGATTTCCATTTTCTCGGCAAACTTCTTGTCGAAGAGGTAAAGAGGGCTCTCGTCATTGCTGTTCTTCATATATTCATGATACGTCGAGAAAGGCCAGTCAACTGCCTCGGCGCGAAACTCGACATCCTTATACTTTTGCAGAATGACATCCATAGTCCACTCATGACATACAGGCCATGTCTGGATGTAGCTGGTCAGAATAAACGGCACCTCAGTCCATTTGTGAGCAAACTCCTCGTAAGTCAGTGTCTCCATACGCTGGATCTGATTACTCTTTGGAATCCTCGAGGTGAACTGTGTCAGGTCAACATGGCTGCATACAAAGGGCCTATGCAGGACATCTGAGAAGACGTTGCTGCAATCAATCTTGCATCGTTTCTCAGGTGACAGTCCAAGTTGAGTCGACCTCCAGGTGCCTTGCCACTTGCCGTCGAATCTGCCCGAACTGTGGGACCTAACCACCTGTTAGCCGGACTTTTTTCACAACCAGGATGCTGTCAGCCAGAACACATCAGACGCAACATTTAAGTGGTCATTGTCCTTCCCATATTCAAAGTCATAGATGACCCCCGTGACCACACTGCCAGGTATAGTAAATGATTGATGACCAAAAAGCTCTCAAAGGCTTGTGGCCTGAAGCTTGATAGTGAGGTGCCGCCATTTAGACTTTCGTAGAGGGCTGGCTAACAGCAAGTTGTGCCATGGACTTACTCGAGGAAAAGAGCCTTCCATAACTCGTCGGATTGGCAGAAGGCATAAAGAAATTTGCTGGCGTATCCGAGATTTCTCAAATTGCTTTGGTCAAGGTATTCCAGCAATATCATGAGAGCTTCATCGGGCAAGATTGTGAAGACTCCGATGTGTTTCCGAGCGTTCGGACGGTCCGAGAGATATTGGTTGCCCAGCGGTTTCACACCCAAAGGATGAGTTGGAATTGACTCAGAGGTCATGACTGCATCCGCGAGAGGCTTTGAGTCATAGCTATGACCGTCGGTGTCAGCATTGCCGTTGATCCTGTCATTGGACGAAAGTCCCTGGGTCGACACAAAGTTGTCGTTGGCCATGTTTCCTGCTGTAGGAGAAAGGCAGGAACAACAGCATGTGCCTGCTGCTAATAAAGCAAGCTAGACAGGCAGGTAGATCCTGTGGCGGGCGACGTTGGAGAAACTAAACGCAAGCAGATGGGCTGAAGAATGGGGGGAAGTCAAGAGGCAGTGACAAAGGAGAAAGAGACATGCGCTGCAAAACCTGCACCAGGAATCATGTCACTGGGCTAGCATCGCAGGCGCCGGTGGTACGAGTGGCGGGCACATGCTCCGGTAGAGATGTCTAGACGATTCAATTAATGCATGAAGATGCCTAGATGAAATTTTTGGGCAGGCATCCCGCCACACTGCGTCTGGGGGGCGGGACGCAGAAAAAAAAAAAAAAAAAAAAAAAAAAAAAAGNGGGGGACGAAAAAAAAAAAAAAAAAAAAAAAGAAAAAAAAAGGTCAGAAGCCAGCCAGTCGTCCAGTTGCCGCCCTTGGTGCTCTGCAGCAGCTATCTCCGGTGTTCCCAGCGCGGCTCTCAGCCAGTCCCAGGTGGCACCTGGGGCACCTAAGCCCATTCACTACGGTGGGCGTGCCCTAATCATGCCGCAGTGCAGCTATGGAGGGTAGCAGCCTGCCCGCCAACTCCGTTAGCGCCACCTCGCTTACCGCATAATTCGAGGGGCCGCCCGCCGCCAGGAAATTTTTTACGTGGTCGAGAATTCTGGCAGCTCGCTGATAAAAACTTCATCTCCCACCGAACAATCAACGTGCACCGTCACCCCACGAACAACCAAACGCACTTTATTCCTAGATTCAGTTTTGCTCTTGCTTATCGCCAAGAGCATCTAATCTAGAAGAGAATTTAATTCTTAGACTTCGCTTCGTCTACATAATTCGCACGCTCCAACGAGACGTTTGCGAATTTTCCAGCCCCTCGCCCAACCCCACCTTCGCGACGATATTTCTAGGTCCCAAGCTGTGCTTGTGATCTAGATCTCTTCAAAAAAACAACACCGCAATCATGGCTGACAAGGGTCTTGAGGACGTGCCTGAGGGTAAGTGATGCAATGATTTTCTTCACCATCGTTGCCCGTCGCAGCGAGCCATCCCTTTGAATTTTGACGCTTGCCCATCAACCCGACCATGACCTCTTCCCCTCCTCTCTTGCATGTCGCGCATTCCAAGAGAATTCAAGTCGCTAACAACAATCTTCTTCGCAGGCCAGATCGAGTCCAACTATGACCAGACCGTTGACTCCTTCGACGACATGGACCTGAAGTCGGAACTCCTCCGTGGTATGTTTTTCCGCGCGCCCAAAATTGGGTCAAAATACCCTCACCGATCGACAATTTGCTGACATCGCCTGTGCCAGGTGTCTACGCCTACGGTTTCGAGCGTCCGTCTGCCATCCAGCAGCGTGCCATCATGCCCGTCATCAAGGGTATGTCACTCCGCCAACTAATGCGACGTAAACTCTGCTCACTCCATGTCCAGGTCACGATGTCATTGCCCAGGCTCAGTCCGGTACTGGCAAGACTGCCACCTTCTCCATCTCCGTCCTCCAGAAGATCGACTCCAACGTCAAGCAGTGCCAGGCCCTCATCCTCGCTCCCACCCGTGAGCTTGCTCAGCAGATCCAGAAGGTCGTCGTTGCCATCGGCGACTTCATGAACATTGAGTGCCACGCCTGCATTGGTGGCACCAGCGTTCGCGACGACATGAAGGCCCTCCAGGACGGTCCCCAGGTTGTTGTCGGTACCCCTGGCCGTGTTCACGACATGATCCAGCGCCGCTTCCTCAAGACCGACGGCATGAAGATGTTCGTCCTTGACGAGGCCGACGAGATGCTTTCTGTATGTTTCTCGCAAACACTATCGTGGAAAAGTTTTTGCCTGCTAACACTCCAATGTAGCGTGGTTTCACCGAGCAGATCTACGACATCTTCCAGCTCCTCCCCCAGAGCACCCAGGTCGTTCTTCTGTCCGCCACCATGCCCCAGGACGTTCTTGAGGTTACCACCAAGTTCATGCGCGACCCCGTCCGCATTCTCGTCAAGAAGGACGAGCTTACCCTCGAAGGTATCAAGCAGTTCTACATCGCCGTCGAGAAGGAGGAGTGGAAGCTCGACACCCTTTCCGACTTGTACGAGACCGTCACCATCACCCAGGCCGTTATCTTCTGCAACACCCGCAGGAAGGTCGACTGGCTCACCGACAAGCTCACTGCCCGTGACTTCACCGTCTCTGCCATGCACGGTGACATGGACCAGGCTCAGCGTGACCTGATTATGAAGGAGTTCCGTTCCGGTTCTTCTCGTGTCCTGATCGCCACTGACCTTCTGGCCCGTGGTATCGATGTCCAGCAGGTTTCCCTTGTCATCAACTATGACCTTCCCGCCAACCGTGAGAACTACATTCACCGTATCGGTCGTGGTGGTCGTTTCGGTCGTAAGGGTGTTGCCATCAACTTCGTTACCGCCGAGGATGTCCGCATGATGAGAGAGATTGAGCAGTTCTACAGCACCCAGATTGAGGAGATGCCCATGAACGTTGCCGACCTCATCTAAGTTACGCTTCACGGGATACGACTACTCTCTTTTCACGAACTAAGCCCTTGGGTCTGCCGATCGATCACGCACGGATCTGGCGTACCAGTTGGGGGCGTTTACTCGAGATTCATCAGGACTTTGTTTGTTGATAGATCGCGGAAGGCTACCTAACGAGCCACTGGGCGCGGTTGGCTTCTTTGGTTGGTTGCACGCCGCGCCCCGGCTCATGGGTGGGATTGAAAACTGGCTTGCATGTGGAGGGCTCACGAGTCTATTGGCACCTTAATACCACGAAGGTGCGGCGGACTGGTACCTAAAAGAATCATTTGGCAGGGTTCTAGTTTTTGACTTTCAGTTTCCTAGTGTCTCTCTGTACGTAGGGGCCTCGTCACGATGAATCTGCATTTAAAATACGCTGCCGTCTCCGCATGGTGAACTTCGTCTGAAATTTGACCCGTCTCTCCACCAAGCCTACATGTCCCCCATCCATCGCTGTCTTCTCGAAAGGCCAGTGTGAAGGAAGCGGGGTGAGCATGCACGAGGCTGGATACTTAGGAGTGGCAGGGTGACTACTACCCAGCCGAGATGGAGAATCGGCCTCTACTCGTTCCACCATACAGGCTTGCAAGTGGCCGAGCCGGTTACACGACGTGCATTAAGACAACATGGGTTCGTTGTGGAAGCCAGGGCTAACGGCGGCCCTTATCGTGACACTTCAGCCTACCCAGCCAGCCAGGATCCAGCGAGGTCCACGGAGTACGGAGATAGAGACTGGAGAGGAGGAGAGGCTGGACGAAAAGCGCCACGTGGGCGGGCCACAGCACACGGGGCTCGATGTGTTATCCGGAGCGATTAACAACCATTCATGGTGTTTTACTCCACGCCAGCCTTAGACAAGTTTCTACTGCCTTGCGTTTGCGCTTGCGCTCGTGCTACAGCATGGCTCCAACGAAAGTACGGCGTCTAGAGTTTCACAAGATCTACGTACTTAAGTCGCTGGGATGGGAGGTTGAACTACGAAGGCGAAGGAAAGATTAGGGAAGGAAGAAGAAAAAAAAAGGGAAAACAAGAAGACTATTTAGCAAAAAGCTCAAAAAAAAAAAAATTGGTAGCTTCTCTTTGATTGAGCGTGTCATCCTTAGTGCAGGGGCCATGCTACTGTGAGTTTGTTAGTGACTGCACCCAGACTCGAACGTGGGACCTCCGGGGTTGCTTACATCTTCTCTGTATCGTTTCAAATTGACCAAATGCCCGAAGGCGAAAATGCCGGTTTTTCCCCGACTTATGAAGGGTTTCCCTTGACTGGCTAGGGCGGGGAGCAAAGAGGGGCCCTCGCTCCTGCTGAACCCTCAGGCCAGCAGAGCGAGGAACCCCCCCCTCAACACAAACGGCGTAATTTTTTTTTTGGTGGGGGATCGACTGACAGCGCCTCTACCCCGCCAAAAGCGCACCAACTGAGCGGCGGACAAAAATTGAAGCCATCATCAATCTCCGAGAGAGGTGCTGCTCGATGGACGGGCTACAGCGTGAGCTTGGAGGGGCGTGAGAGTTCGCTGTTACCTGCAGCGACAACTTTCCTTCATTGCCACGAGAAAGAAGACGCAGACGCAAGGCCGCGACGTCGCCGTCAACAAATTTTTTTTTCTTTCTCAATTGTTTTCGCCCCGAGACCACGATCAGGGTTTCGAGTGAGTGGAGGGTAAAGGGGGAAAAGTTTCGAAAAAGCTGCCACCCGGTTTTTTTCGGTTTGCCCTTTCTTTCCTGGTGCATGCCCATCGCCCCCCTCTCTCTCCCGCCGTCCGTCCCTCGCTCGCCTCCCTTCCCCCCCCTCTGCTGCGTTCCCTGGACCTCCAAGACCCCCTTTTCTGTTTCGTTTCGTTTTGGGCAGTTCGTTAGGGTTGCAAGGAAGTGGAACGGAGTTTGGATGAATTTACGACGAATATGCAATTACCGAGACACCTCTGATGACAGGGGGGCGTGTGGGCGTAAATTCGGGGCGTCGCACCCCTGTCGTCACTGGCTTGCTGACTTACACATGGATTCTATTATGCAAGTGACTATCTCCCACGTAATGTATAAGCTGAATGAAACTATATATCAGTCTCTATGTTCTGGCGGGTTGGAAATTGAGGCTAGATATAGGGATCTATGGTGCTGCACTGCGAGTGTTATGTGATGTTGTCCTTGATACTCAAACCTAGCCCAGGCATTAAATAACATACCTTTATCATGAACAATTCTAGGAACAAATGATCTACTCAGGTAACTTCACGTCTGTGAGCTACTTTTAATTTGGTTGAGCTTCTGTAATATGAAATATGGCTGGTCTTTGATACCTGCTATCTTTATCAATACTGTCCGGAAGATGGTAGCTATGAGTACGTCAGGAGTACGGCTGCAAATGCAAGTTCTTACCAATGCAAGCCATAAGCAAGACTTACAGACATCCAGGAATTTGAAATGAACGGGCCATCGCAAAGACGCACAGTGGTTACTCCACGTGTAGACTCTTGTGCCTCAGGAGAAGGACCTCGTGGGAACTACGCCAAGACGTAAGCTAGATATGCCTGATAAGGGGCGTTTCAAATGCTGCATGGGCAATAATGATGAGCCTGAAACGCAGTGTGCTTAGCTAGCAATACACAACAAGGCCAACGACCTTGTTCTAAGGTGTATTTTCGAGTGTGTATATTAGCAAGTGAAGAAAAGAACGAATGGTGCTTGTCACCTAGATTGCCAGCGTTGAGATGGAGTATGTACACATTGATGGACTGTGTCTTTCTAGATTCGATTCAACTGCAAGCCGTGAGGTGACGTGACTGATCATTGAAATATGCCATGAAAGTTTGGCATTTCTTTTGTCCCAAGCCGTGGCAAGAAACAAGTCTATGTTCAATTCACGAGCATCGAACCATTCAGAAGGGAAAAGAAAAGGAAGGGGGGAAACAAGAAGCTCACTTCGATCTTCGAAAATCAAACCTACAAGACCACGAAAGATTTACACACCATGACTTTGATTTACTGCCAGGTTAAAGACGGTCCCTAGCCACGTTTGCCCGGAAATGACAGGTTCAACAAGTAGCCTCATTGTGAAGGTGGGAGAGATTGGGGGGGGGGCACTACGCCAGGTGATCGCTAAGAAGAAGAAAACAATGTTTATTGAAACTGCCATAGGTTTCATTATCTCTCAATCATGCTTCCTTATCACTTCGACGCATTTGAAATCTTTCGTCCCAACACCAGCTTGTGCAAACCAGTGACGACCCAACTCCAAATCACACACACCGTAACAACGCCTGCGCCAGCCACTCGTTATTTATTACACCTTTCTGATGGAAGATGTAGTTGGCTATGCCGTCGCAACCACATATAATTTCGGACCCCTTCATGAGACTGGAAACCACTCAGTGTGACATGTGTGAGGGATAGCCATCTAGGCTCCACTGGCCAAGTTCTTCTCCAATACCTCTGGGGGAGGGAGGAACTCAGGACCAAATGAGAGCGGGAGAAGCTGAGATTGGGTCAGAAAGTACTCAATTTCATCATCCCGAATCATGACCGGGAAAGCGTACCTGCTGGAGCCTCATGACGACATACTTGCCGTTCTTGTTGAACATGAGGATGGGGGTCTCAAGATCAACGAACTCACGAATGCTGTTGAAGCGTATTAGTCTGTGGCCGACTACCAAAACCCACATGGCTGGATGGAAGCTCCAAGAAACAAAGGACTCACAACTGTCTGCACATGCCACATGGGCTGCAGGGGGCATCGACGTCGGTGGCAACAGCAACAGCCTTGAAGCCCCGGATGCCCTCTGTGATGGCCTTGCCAAAAGCTACTCTCTCGGCGCAAGTTCCAACGGGGTACGACGCATTCTCGACGTTTGCTCCATCGGTATATCTGTCGTCGTTGGACAACAGGGTTGCGCCGACGCGGAACTTGCTGTACGGGCAGTAAGCCGTCGCCTTGGCCGCGGTTGCCCTCTTCTCCAGTTCTTTCACCTGGTCAGGCGTCAGGCCGTACTTCTTGGCCGTGTCCACCGTCTGAGAGTCATTGGCAATATCGAAAACTTCCGGAGTGAAGGACATGATGAAATTCGAGAAAGGGAAAGAAAGAAAAGGAAGAAGGGGGAAGGGATGAGGTTGTGGAAAGGGTGGGGTTGATAAGACTCTAGATGATGTGCAGTTGGTCTAAGATGCCAAGAGTCCGTGTTTGCTTGGCTGATGTTTGGGTGCGATGGCTTACCGGACGGTGCTAGAGCGAAGGTGTGTTGGGGCAGTCACTTGGTGGGACACCCTCCGAAAGCTGCCACTGGAATGTTCCATTTATGGGGGGTCTGTACCCCGCGGCCGTCTCCGACATCCGTTTGCATTTGCCAAAGTTCAATCATGTTTGCTATCAATTTTGGAACCGGAACCCGCAACGTAGCGATACAAAACCCCATCTCACCAACCATCGCAGATGCCCGTCAAGACTTCCTGCCTTCTTGGGCAACCTACATTCCCGGGTGATGGCGCCGGATTGGACGGGCAATTCCCCATATGACCAACCACATAGCTCTCGGCGCCTCTGGAGCGAGTACCCCGCAGTCCTTTCATTCCTCATGGCCTAAAGATTGCGGGTAGGCTTTGCCGATGGGAATCGTAAGCGGGTTCATGGCACTAGGGATCCAGCAATCCGTGAGCTAATGGCTTTGATCACGGGGTGCGCCTCGCGCAGTGAGATGCCCGCGCGGAGGCTTGTCGCTCGGGGTTGGACTTACGACGCACCGCCATCGACAACCAGGTTTGCTCCCGTGATATAGGAGCTGAAGCCCGATGCGAGGAATCCAGCTACCCGTGCCACTTCTTGTGGATTGCCTGGTCTCTCCAGACCTATGGTGGCCTTTGAAGCCTGCGGAGCCTCAGTCATCAATTGTTAGGTCGACATCAGGATGGCAACTCACTTCTTGGGTCTGGAGGCTTGCAGGGGGGAACTGGGAGTTCATCCCCTTGAGATCGATCTGTCGGCTTCGTCAGCACATTGTTATCGCCCACGAGGTGCTCGTTCGTACCCCGTTCAAGTCCAAGCCAATGTCAATCTGACCCGGCGAGATGCAGTTGATTCTCACTCCTGTGCCTTTCAAAACCGCAACACCAGCCTTCACGACACCAAGCGCAGCATGGCTGGCCACCACGTAAGCGGGCCCCCAGCAGCCGCCGTACGTTGACGCCACGCTGCCGATGACAATGATGCTGCCGTACTTTTGCGTCTTGGGCGCGGCATTGGGGTACGACTTCTTCTCTGTTAGCTTGGCCATGGCCGCAGGCGCGTATTTGAGCGCAAAAAACGGTGCTATCGAATGCGCCTCGAGGCAGCGTTGCAGGTCTGCTGGTGTTGTCTCGGTGATGGACGGCGGACCCAGCAGGCCGGCCGACGACACCCAGATATCGAGACGCCCGAAGTTGTTGAGTAACTCGTCAATAAGAACGAGCGTCTCTTCTTCCTTGGCTACGTCGAAGGGGTAAGAGATGATTTTTGTGTTTGGGTGCTCGATGTGGACCTTGTCGACCAAAGGCTTGAAGCCTTCATCGCTGGCCGCCTTGTCGCATGCTGGGCAATGTCAGCCCGAGATAAACCATTGCCGTGAAGAAGGTCTCAAACTGTTAGACTGACCGTAGATGGAAGCGGCGCCATGTGCTGCTCTCGCGCGTTAGGGCTACTTATGAGTGATATGATGGTATAGGTGTTGGGAAATCATACCGGCCAGTTCCTCAATGATAGCCTGCCCAACGGGCTGGGCGGCGCCAGTTACGACGCAAACAAATCCGTACTGATCTAAAATGAATCTTCTTCGACGCGAAATAGAATTGTATTAGACTCACGAGCTTGCCATCGGCACGGTAAGGGCTGAAATCAATGGTGGTATCCATGTTAGATGTAGTCACCAATCATGAAGGTACAACAGTCTGGACGAATCAACTGGGAAACGACTCGGAAAAAGTCAATGCTGGGTCATGTAAATATTGATTGACGTCCATGATGCTGGTGTAATGGGGAGAATTGCATATCTCCTCACGTCCAAACCATTTATTTTGGTGGTCTGGGCCCGTGGATGGGCTGATGCCGTCACCTCCACGCCAGACGTAAACCAGCCGAAAGATGCTTCTCCGAGGGGCATCAACACCCCAATCGTGGAGGCGCACAACAACCAATGCATCTATCTCAAGCCTCGATAAGAGATAAGAGATATGACGTGAGCGCATGAAGTTTGTGTGTTTTGGCGGCTCATTTCTTTTTCTCTTGCTTCAATGGATACTAAAAGCCAGTTGCAAGCACACGCAAAAACGCGCCATGTGACGACATGGGAATCAAGCCCAGCAGCACATGGGATTGTGCTGGTTTTCCCTGGTGGACAGCCCGCCGCGGGGGTGGGTAACTGCTCGGTCTGTCATTCATATTGGGCTTACGTGATTGGTTGCCAACGAAGCCTGAAGAAAGATCGATTTGCCCCGCCATCTCAACTCGACATTCTTTTTTTTTCGCCGCGTCTGTTAAGGCTCGTTCCGACAGAGTCATTTCTTGAGATGCCACGACCCATACCTAGGCCGAGTCGGCATATCCTTGACAAGATTTCTTTCCATTTGATGCAGTAGGTACGCAGCCATGACCCCAAATCTGTGGTGAATGAGGAGACAATTGCCAGCATGGACAATGCCAGTTACGCTCGCAGAGTCTGCAACCAATTCATTCAATGACGGACTAGGACATGACACAGGACCCCTGCCCAGTCGTCCATGGTTGAAATTGTTCGGCAGGTGTAAATATGGCTTTCTTTCTGGTACTCTAAGCACTGACGGCATTTGACACGACGGTTCCTGACCGTTATTCCGAGTGTCATTCCGTCCCTCGGACGACAACCGTCTGAGCGTCGTGAGATACGCGCCGCTTGCAGATGGCGACGAGATCAGAGAATATACACTAGATCAAAGAGATCAGCGAACAGGAGGGTTGCATGTCCGCCCCACGCAACCAATGCGGGACACCCTGCCTTGGGGTGTGAATTGGGTCAAGGGGACTTGACAGCAAGGGGATTCGTTTCGCAAAGAGAATTGAGAGTTTGGATAGCCCAACATCAAAGAAGACAAAAGACAGCAGAGACCTTTAAAGTAAAGGTTGAACCGATGTCGTGGGGGTCCCGCTATTGCTTTGCAGCAGTTTCGGGTGGTCCCTTCAGACAGTTGATTAGCCGGGTTGAAACGTGAACCCGAAGGCACGTATTCGCTTGGCGGTTTGCTGGCACATTTCCGGCTTCGAGGCGCCATTGAATCCTGACCAGAGCTACTGACGGGTAACCTGGCGGTCATTTCGCCTGCCGACGTTTGATACCGAACAAATGGTTCCGTGTTCCGTGGCATCCTATCGCCGACAGGAATAAAGTCCGTGGGTGAAGCATTGGCAGGAAGGTGTGGATAACGATGACGGATGAGAAATCCAGACCCGCTTAGCTAAGACTTGATCGGGGGGTGGGGAAGAGAGTTCTGCTCGAAATTGTTAGGGGGGTACTTTGGATGCATGGGATAAGAATAGCCTCTGCGGCGGGTTAGGGGAGCACATTCAGGCTGGACGCAGCGAGCGATTGCGCGGTGAAAGACCCTTCAGGACGCAGGAGCCTGGATTTTGCCTGCCTCCCAGGCGGATGGTTGCCTGCCCAGAGGGTGCCGCAGCAGGTCCAACAGCGCCCAGCACCCATGGAAAGGTACCTAAGGTAGGTTACGGCGCAGCTGGAGCATGGCAAGCGGATCAGGGTCCTCCTCGGGTTTGCTGGAGGGTCGTTGGAGGGTTGTTGGACCCCTCGGACCGGATCTGGCTGGACAGTGCAGGTATTGCATCATCAGCACCGCCACTGTGGCTCAAAAACATTCTACACCTTTCCATGGGATTCAGATTGGGGCCCTTTGGGCGCGGGAAATGCGCAAGGCGACCCGCACTCGCAGCCTGCTTTCTCCCTTTATTTTGAAAAATCCAATGTCCCGTCACTAGCGTAGCCGGTCCATTCAGCCCAGGTAGATTTCCACCCTTTTCGCTCCCCGCCAGGAATTGCATCAATAATTGCCTGCCCCCAGCCCGGCCTCGACCTTCCTCAATCTTTTTCAACTTTTCTCGCTGCAACATCTCTTTCCCGTTTACCAGATACCCAGTTGCGTAGACAACTTTGTGCCGACCATTTTCAGAAGGTATGTGTGCAACCTCTCTTGTTTGCTTTCCGCCGGCGCAAACCTCAAGGTGAAGGCGAGGTGGCGGATACACTTTCCCTGTTGGTCAGCTAGCCTTAACCTGCGATTCCTGCTGCGCCCAACATCGAGGCCTCCCTCCTGTTCTCCCTACAAGTTGCACAGGCAGAGCAAGTTCGATGACCAGAGGCCACGAAACTTACAAAACTCTGGCTCTTCATTTTCGCTGACAGGCTCCGACTCCGCAGGCCCCTCCAAGGACCCTTACCCCCCAAATCCCGATTTCAGCGCCAAGGTTTTAGATAAGGATTACTGTACCGACATACACCATGGTCAAGGAAACGAAGCTCTACGACACCCTCGGCGTATGTTCCCACAGCAGCATCTTGGTATGGTCACCGAAGTATTAACGCGGTAATAGGTGGCGCCGACTGCGACTGAGACGGAACTGAAGAAGGCCTACAAGACGAATGCCCTGAAGTACCACCCTGGTATGTGAATCGAGTTGCGCTGTTCTGCCAGGAGTTGCTGACGGATTACAAACAGACAAGAACGCCCACAACCCCGAGGCTGAAGAGAAGTTCAAGGAGGTCTCCCACGCCTACGAGATCCTTTCCGATTCCCAGAAGCGTCAGATCTACGACCAATATGGTGAGGCCGGTCTTGAGGGTGGTGCCGGCGGCGGTGGCGGTATGGCTGCCGAGGACCTGTTTGCTCAGTTCTTCGGTGGTGGCAGCTTCGGCGGTGGCCTCGGCGGCATGTTCGGCGGCGGCGGTATGCCCAACCGCGGCCCCCCCAAGGCCCGTACCATTCACCACACTCACAAGGTCTCTCTCGAGGACGTCTACCGTGGCAAGATCTCCAAGCTTGCCCTTCAGCGCTCCATCATCTGCCCCAAGTGCGAAGGTCGCGGTGGAAAGGACGGTGCTGTTAAGCGCTGCGCCGGCTGTGATGGCCACGGCATGAAGACCATGATGAGACAGATGGGTCCCATGATCCAGCGCTTCCAGACCGTCTGCCCCGACTGCAATGGCGAGGGTGAGACCATCAAGGACAAGGATCGCTGCAAGCAGTGCAACGGCAAGAAGACAATCGTCGACCGTAAGGTTCTCCACGTCCACGTCGACCGCGGTGTTAGGAGCGGCACCAAGGTTGAGTTCCGTGGTGAGGGTGACCAGGCCCCTGGCATCCAGGCCGGTGACGTCGTTTTCGAGATTGAGCAGAAGCCCCACCCCCGCTTCACCCGTAAGGAAGACGACCTTCTCTACCAGTGTGAGATCGAGCTGGTCACTGCTCTGGCTGGCGGAACCATCTACATTGAGCACCTTGACGACAGGTGGCTTAGCATTGAGATCCTGCCCGGTGAAGCTATTGCTCCTGGTATGTTTAACTATCCCGTACTCTCCCCATACGAACCAACTAACGACCTGCAGACGCTGTCAAGATGGTTCGTGGCCAGGGTATGCCTTCCCCGAGACACCACGATTTCGGAAACCTGTACATCCAGTTCAGCGTCAAGTTCCCTGAGAAGAACTGGACCGACGACCCGACGGCCTTCGAGGCTCTCCAGAAGCTTCTTCCCGCCCCGTCTCTGCAGACCGTGCCTCCCCCCGAGGCCATGACCGAGCCTGCTGACCTCGAGGATCTGGACAACAGCGCACAGGCTAAGGTCTTTGGCGGCGCCGGCTCAATGGACGAGGATGACGAGGACGGTCCCCACGGCGCCGAGCGCGTGCAGTGCGCTTCCCAGTAGACGACATAACTTCTGACGACATTTGAGATTACGAGCATCTTCGGCGTGTTGGGGGAGTGGGCGTGGATCGAGGCAGTTCTTCACATCTGTTCTATGGAACGGAAATGCATATTTTCCCAGTCACGAATGGATGGAAACGGTTGCATGGAAATGGTAAAGAGAGGCCTGCCATTCGGCGGCTGCATGTGGGAAGACGCAGCAGCTGACTGGACGCCTCGACTAGATGCGCTGAGTCGGTTCGTCGAGAATGAAGGCTGGATTCCGATGGACCAGCACAGTACAGGGATTTCTGGTCCAGCGCTCGCGTGTTAAAAACATCATTTGGCTTCTTTGCTCGACGGACATCGAGACTTGGTGGGAAGGCGTTCACGGTTTCACGGTCATAGAGGATAATCCGTTGAATCGATTTGATGATACACATGTTTTTGCTTTTGTCTACTTTGAAGATGTGACTATGATGCCTCCTCTGGCTGCTCAGCCTGCTCAGCTTCCTCGCCTTCTTCACCCTGCTCCTCGTTCTTCTTGCGCAAATCTCCAATGTTGTATAGCAGCTTGCGTACTTGTTCCTGGGTCAGATCAAACTCACTCTCCGTCAAGCTTGCGTCCAGAGGTACGAAGTCTTGCGTGGTTGAGAAGGCGGCGCCGGTCCACTTGTAAGACACGAGGCCGTTGTCAGTAGAGCTTGGCTCCGCCGGGTCAACCGTGACGAGGATAGTACTCAGAGGACTATCACTGGAGATGGGGGCAACGTGTAGGGGGTTGCCTGGGAGAGAGACTGTCTGTACGTGGGACAGAGTGTTTTGTTCTGAGACACGGAGCACAAAGATTGCAGGTACACTAAGCAACGGGTCAGCAGGAGCACTTCCAGACATGGCGACAAAGACGTACCCTTCGCAGACCACCAACACAACGGGGACCGGCAGGCCGTTGGCGAGGACGGTTGCAGACAGAAGCTGGGAGACCGCGACCTTGGCAGCCTCCTGTTGGACCTGGCGAACCTGTTCCAAGATGTCGAACTTGGACAAGATGTTGCCGGCCTCCCAGTCCCATACGAACAGCTCACTGTCTCCACCTCCCGAGACGAGAACGTCTTGGCTGGGGAGAGTCAGGGCGCTGACGAAGTTGGTGTGGCCGAGACAGAAACCCTCGATAATGTGGGCATGGGGCATGTAGCGCGAGACACGAATGTGCTCATCGCGGTCCGCGGTGATGATGTACCGGCGGGATCCCTTCTCGGCGAGCGTCATGGCGGTGAGCATAGAGACGTGGCCGAGCAGGAGGGTGTGCTCGAAGGTCGGGTCCTCCTTGGGGGCGTCGCGCTTCGACTTGTTCATCTCACGCTGCTGGTTCTTGAGGGCGCGGAGGTTGGCTTTGGAGTGCACAGTGAAGTTGCTGGCTTCAGGCTTGAAGGGCTGGGCCTCTGGCGCTTGGGTTGCCGGCGCGGCGGGCTCCTCGGGAGCATCAGTTGCAGCAGGCTTATCAGAGGGGATGAGGGGAAGGGAGAAGACGTCGCCAAACTTGTCTGCGCTCAGGATCGTCTCGTCGCCTGGGCAGATGAGAACGGAGCAGGGGCGTTTAGGCATTGTCCTTTACATGTGTTAAAGTCTATCTCACCCAGGAAACGGGAGAAGAGGGCTGACATACCTCTGGCTCAGCTCTTTTAGGCCGCCCTTGCCGTCGTGCTCGAATACCCAAAGGCCCTTGTCATGACCAGAAATGGCAAGCAAGTGACTGCCGGTGCTGGTCGTTGTCATGAGTGTGATGACGGGCTGGTCCGGAACTCGCGCAAAGCGATTGCTCTGCTGCTGATGTTGGGCCTTGTTGCCTTTGTTTCCCTTCCTCCTGTCCTTCTTGCCCTTCTTCTCGTTTTCGTTCTGCTGCTGTTGCTGATCCTCGACCTGCTTCTGAGGTTCACCCACAACCATAGCATCGCCGTCCTTGGCCTCATCCTCCTTCTCAACCCTCTGGCGCTTGGCTGGTGGGCCATCTTCATCGTTGGTCGGGGAAGCAGGTGTGGGAACTCCTGAGTTCACTTCGATCTCAACCTTTGCCGCGGCGTTGGCGGCCGAGGCAGCTGCGACCTTCTCGACGTCGGGGTGCTTCCATGTTGAGATGTGAGAGCCGTCTTGCAGGCTGAAGGAGTGAATCTTGCCACCCCTGGCAGCAAAGATGACGTTGCCACAGGGCTGGACAAAGTTATACGGAATTTTCATAGTGATTACGGGTTGATGGAAGTTGAGTAGGCTCAACGATTGAGCTTGTCTACACTAGGAACTGAGGTCAGGATAGGACTTTCACTGAAGAACTCATCGGCCATCTGAGATGCGCCCCACTATGGAAGTGAAAAAAAAGATACTTCCAGCATGTATCTTTTTTCTCAAAAGCTTGGACCATGGTACCTACCCTGCAGCAGTATCCGTAGATGCTAGCCTCTCACTTCAGACCTGCAACCCCCGGCCGCCCGTTGGTTGCCCTAAGGTCCAGCGGAATTGGCTGGCTCGTCGGCCCCGGGTGGGTCCACACATTTTCGCGAAGCAGCAGAGAGCAAAAACCTTTTTGCTTCGCGGAGGCTCTTTTTTCTTTCCTGCTACATCACCATTTTGATACCCCAATTTCCCATCAACCAACAAGGAACAAATTCATTTGCCCTTAAACATCCTGCCTTCATAAAATAAGAAGATATGGGGGGCAAATCTGCGAACAAGGCCGGCTACTTCGACAAGCTCAAGGGCTTGCTCGAGGAGTACAAGTCCATCTTCATCGTCTCCGTCGACAATGTCTCGTCTCAGCAGATGCACGAGATCAGACAGTCCCTCCGTGGTGAGGGTGTCGTCCTGATGGGCAAGAACACCATGGTACGTTTTCTCGGGGAGCCAATGACGAGTCAAACATCGCGCGACACACGATGCTAACGAATATTTCCAGGTTCGCCGTGCCCTCAAGACCTTCATCCCCGATGCTCCCGAGTACGAGCGCCTGCTCCCCTTCGTCAAGGGCAACGTCGGCTTCGTCTTCACCAACGGTGACCTCAAGGACATCCGTGACAAGATCCTCGCCAACAAGGTCGCCGCCCCGGCCCGTGCCGGTGCCGTCGCTCCCTCCGACGTCTGGATTCCCGCTGGCAACACTGGCATGGAGCCCGGAAAGACCTCTTTCTTCCAGGCCCTCGGTGTCCCCACCAAGATTGCCCGTGGTACCATTGAAATTGTTTCGGACCTGAAGCTCGTTGAGGCCAACACCAAGGTCGGCCCCTCCGAGGCTACCCTCCTTAACATGCTCAACATCTCCCCCTTCACCTACGGTATGGGCGTCGCTCAGGTCTACGACCAGGGCAACACCTTCCCCTCTGAGGTTCTCGACATCTCTGAGGACCAGCTCCTGAAGGCCTTCGGCGGTGCTATTGCCACCATCGCCGCTGTCTCCCTGGCCATCAACTTCCCCACCCTTCCCTCCGTCATCCACTCCTTCTTCAACGGTTACAAGAAGGTTCTCGCTGTCGCCATCGAGACCGAGATCAGCTGGCCCGAGATCGAGGAGCTCAAGGACCGCATCGCCAACCCCGATGCCTACGCCTCTGCCGCCCCCGTCGCCGCTGCCGGTGGCGCCGCTGCTGAGGAGGAGACCAAGGCTGAGTCCGAGAAGGACGAGGAGTCTGACGAGGATGGCGGCTTCGGCGGTCTCTTGTATGTTTTCTCCCTACCCCCTTCCAGTGATGAGTTGCAGTGTTTGCTAACTTCTTTCCCAGCGACTAAATGCTTTGACGGGAAATCGGTGTTACGACGGCTTCTATCTGGGTTACGACTGGGTTTACGACGACATGTCGATCTAAAGCACGGCTACATAGATGGGTTGCCGGTCAATTAAGCACATCGCATTTGACGGCAAAACTGGCTCATGATTGATGAAATGGTGAACGTGACATGCTTGAAGCGTGCTCGTCCCAAAGTCCAAAAGGTTAGTTTTCACTTCTATCTCACTTTCACTCACCCACCTGCGTCCTATGATTATATAAACGTTCAAGAGCTTTTTAACCCTGAATCTTTCTTGATGACACACACATCACCACCCTATGAGGATGCTTTACAAATCTTTTTCTTCTTGTTCAGCCTGCTTTTTACTGGGTATCATGGCTAACGTACACAAAGTCGCAGGTCCTATAGTACAAGTGGTGCCCTATCTAGCGTGTCCCCCTTTGCTGTGTTACATGTGCGTGTGAGTGTGATGTACAAGATGAGGTTCTTAGTGACCGAGCACTTGCTTGGCGATCTTGATAGCGTGCTCCGGCAAATCAGCCAGCCGCGCAACTTTCAGAGCATGGCTCTGTCGGTTGATGCCCTTTTGTAGCCTATGAATATAGACAAATCCACCATCTTCGTCCTCCTCCACGTCCGTGCAGTACGTGTCCACGCCCCCGTTTTTTACGAGCCCCTCGGCCTCGGCCAGGTCTGCCACCTTGTGAAAATGCGTCGCGAACAGCGCCCGGCATTGGTTGATTGTGACCAGATGGTGCAAGCAAGCGTACGCGACCGCCGTGCCGTCCTCGGGCGTCGTTCCCCTCCCGATCTCGTCCATGATAACAAACGACCGCGGCGTGGCGTTGCGGAGAATCTGTGCCGTCTCCATCATCTCCACCATGAAGGTGCTCTGGTCCCGGTACAGGTTGTCCGCCGAGCCCACACGGCTGTAGATGGCGTCCACGATGCCCATCTCCGCGTAGTCCGCGGGCACGTAGCAGCCGATCTGCGCGAGGATCGTGATGAGGGCGTTCTGTCGCAGGAACGTGCTCTTGCCGGCCATGTTGGGGCCCGTGATCAGCCACAGCTTCCCGGCCGAGGGGCCGCCTACGAGACAGTCGTTCCGGACGAAGCTGCGCCCCTGCTCGTGTAAGCCGCCCTCCACCGTGGGATGTCTGCCGCCGATGATGGTATGCGCGGTCGAGTTGTTGAGCAGCGGCCGCGTCAAACCCTGCTCCTCGGCGAGCTTGGCGAACGAGGTTGCGATGTCGAGCTCGTCCAGCACGGCGGCGTTGCGGCGCAGCTTGACGAGGTTCAGGACGACGGCGGCGCGGAGGGCGTGGAAGACGCGCTGCTCTTCGGTGCGGATGCTGTGCCGGGCCTGTTCGAGCTGCTGGCCGAGACGGGTCCACTCGGGCTCGTGGAACGACCGTGTCGAACGGCTTGCGCCGAGGGCCTTGATGTCGGCGGAGACGGAGCGAGCATCTTTGCCTTTGATGTGACAGAAGTGGCCGAGAGCCGGGCTCCAGCGGAGGGTCAAGGAAGTGGCGCCGTGGTGTTCGCGGAGGTCTTCCGTGAGCGTTTCCTTCTTGGCGTGAAGAGTGGCAAGATCGTTGTGGAGTTCGCGGAGGAGTTTGCTGGCGTTCGGCTTCATGATCCACGTCTCATTGTCGTCGGCGTACGCCTCTCGCACAGAGGTCGGGCGTTTCTTCTTGGCAGCCGCAGCAGCACCCTTTGGCAGGGCGTCGGCGTCTTCTTGTGAGCCTTCCGTGCTCACGATTTCCTGAGCGAGAGACATCATCTGTCCTGCCTGGCTCTCTTCGATCTCATGTTGATGGATGATGCCTTCTTCGTCGATGGCTTCCTTGATGCGACGCGCCATAGTCAAGGGCTTCTTCAGGTCGAGTCGAGAGCTCATCCGCGATAGACATGCGGACTCGTCGGACGCTGCTAGAAGCAGCTGCTTGATGCTGTCAGTGGCTTGAGTGGTGTTGGCCAGGTCCACCAGGTCGTCCGGGTCTCCTCGGCCAAGCGCAAACTTCTGCACCAGCCTCTGGGAATCGTGGCTGCGGCGGAGCAGCACAACCACGGCGTCCCGCAAGTCCGGGTCTTCGATGAATCGTGCGACGAGATCCTGCCTCAGCTTGATGACCTCGAGGGAGGTTGACGGGGCACTGAGCCAATCATTGAGCAGCCTAGCACCGCTCTTGGTGACAGTCCGTCGAATGGCGTGTAACAGGCTACCGCGGAAGTTCGCATCTCTGATGGTCTGTTTAATTTCCAGGGAGCGCATGCTGTTCTTGTCTATGGTCATAATTTGCATGTTCTCATGGCGCTGCGGCGGCTGCAGCTTCATGCTTAGCCCCAGTAGCCGCTCCTTGACGTAGTGGAGGAGCAGGCTGCCCGCCATCACCTCATCGTCAGTGAATGCGTCCCGGACTGGAAGCGGAATTTCAGACTCGAGCATGGATGTCCAATCAGAAAGACGCCTTATTTCGCCGAACGGGCTATACGTGACCAGATGCCGGTCCTCAGCCAGTATGGAAAACAGCCCATGGCCGGTTTGGGTCTGGAGCTCGCTGTCTAGGACGACCTCTCTGGGGCATATTCTCGACAAGATCGAGGGCAGCGCTGTGAGATCGGAAGCCTGAGTGTAAAATTGGCCGGTGGACAGGTCCAACCACGCGAGGCCCAGTGGTAGTGGTTCGGCAGGGTCACCAGCTGCCGGAGTCAGACTCCGGTCAGCGGCTGAATGGGTCGAGTCTTCCCCCTCGCTTCCGGACTGGGCCGCGGCCGTATAGGCATGGACAGCCAGCACATAGTTGTTCGCATATGGATCCATGAAATTCTCATCAATGAGAGTTCCTGGCGTGATGATACGAGCAACTTTGCGATCGTGCATCAGCCCACCAGACTTAATCTTCTCGGGCGCCTTGTTGGGGAACTCTTCAGCAATGGCGACGTAGCGATTCAGGTCCTGGACCAGGATCTTAAGGAAACGGTCCAGCTGAAAGAAAGGGAAACCGGCCTAGCCATCACATATCAGACCTGAGGAGGATACGAGCACGGCGTTGGAAAAAAAAAGTGAGAAGGATTTACCATGGAAACGGGGCCCGCATTCGTCTTTTTCTGGGCAACCTTGAGATTGAGCAAGGGACCAAGCTCTTCAGCATGCTCAAAGTACAGCTCGTAGAAGCCACCGACACGCGTCAATAGCACGCAGTTGTCGAACTTTTGCATGTTTTGACGAGCCTGCAGCACCACGGTTGGATAGACCGGTGCCTCATCTTGCGTGGGACAGGGATCCAGCGGCAGCAGGAGTCCCTGGGGTAGATCGTCAAGCTTCACGGTTGACGTTGTCTTCTTGCCCCTGGCAAAGACACCAGCAGGCGAGTGCCAGGACGGCACTCCTACAACCCCAACGTCTTGGCCGAAACCCCATCGATAGCGATTGCGGCGCAGGCGGAGAGATGCGGGGATAGACAATCGGGAAGCAGTCAGTAACGGGGGCACCAGGTCATGACAGGCGAGTGTGGTGAGTGATCGGGCCAACATGTGAGCATATCATCAATATGAGCTGTTCGGGAGTGACGTCGGTTCAGGCGTTTGTCCGATTCGGCACAAGAGGAATAGGCCTAAGAAGGTAAGGGTTAAGGGCCTAGGCGCGGCGAGGAATGTGGTGTTGTGACGTTCGGCGGAGGGAAATGATGAGATAATGAGCCGGGTGGAGGGCGGGCGCCGGGGTTGGTTCAGGCTGGACGCGAATCATGCGAGCGGCGTTGTAGTCGAAGAATATCGCGAGATTTTTCGGGACCGTGGCCTCGAATCCGCCCGAATCGATCGGAGCCCATGGGGACCCATAGGGGGGATCTCGCTGGAGGGCGGGCGCCTGACAGGCTGCTGCGAACTGTGCTGTGGGGCCGGTGGTCCAGGCGTCTGGGACCGTTCACCTCAGCGTATTTGCATCGCGGCTCTCGCCTGGGACAGGTCGCCAGGGGGGGGAGGGGGCCTATGGGAATGGAAGCCTTGGAACGGATCTAGGCACCTAGGCACGCCAAGTAGCATGGCATGGTAGGCATGGACAGCGGAAGGGATGGGACGGCGTGGGACGGCGTGGAACGGACATGGAGAGAGAAATGGCATGGCTTGGTCGGGGCGGCGATAAAATTAGGCGACGACCCTGTACGGATGTGTGTCGAGTTGGCCCCAGGCTTGGGGGAGATGCGACGGACCAAGATAGCAGCAAACGACACCGGCCGATGGTTTGTAAGTCGATGACTGTTCGCCGTGCGTTAGGTCTCGTTATCGCCGAAACATGGCAAACCGGATGTAAGATGGAACTGGAGATGCGCGACACGCGAGGCGGAGAAGAAACGGGGTTTATGGAGCAGGGCCACGATCGGAATTAGGGGTCTTCGTTTGTATCCGTTGCAATGCTCCGGCTGTCCTGGCCTGGGTGTGAGGAGTTGTTCAGATAAGGTAAATGATCCATAAGCAGCCCAGCAAGATTCGCTGTGAGTCTAAACAGATGGCAAACATGAGAGAAGATTCGAGACAGTGTTGGTGCTTTTTCCGGGTACCTGCCTGGTGTGCATCATCGTCTTACGAGAGTCGTTTGCGTCTAGCGTCATTTATTTGGGCCAGTCGTACGTAGGAACGATAATCATGGACACCGTTGGTGCATTGTTGGGTCCAAACAACCAAGGGACCACAGAAATGGAACGGAGCTGCAGGACCAAAGGACCGCGCTGTTGGAGGCCCGTCTGTAGATTCCATGTCAGTGAGATGTGTGTGTGTGTGTGTGTGTGTGTGTGTGTTGGTGGTGGTGGTGGGGTCGAAGCACTGTGTCGAGACTGTATTTCCTCCTTCCTTCCACCGCCTTCGTTTGTAAGTTGGGCCGCACCGCTCCAGCACTTTGGGTTTGGGGGGTTGCATAAACACAGTGTTTTGGACGGCAGCAGCGCCTAGATGACCACTAACACGCGGTCGACGTGCAGTAGGGGCAACCAGTTGGCAGCGAGGCAGTTCCGTTGGCGCTGCTGTGCGGGCGATGGTCGAATGATGTTACCGTCATGTTGAGATTGACAGGGCGGGGGTCGCATCATGGATGGCCATATCATGGCTCGCTAACCATTATGATCAACGCACCGCTGGGCCCCCAAAAGGGGAACAGTCAGCCCGAGGGAGTGCTCCCAAATGCTCGCTGCAGCAGATGACTGTGGCCTGTAGGCAATCAAAGATGGGCAGACGGCATGGGATGCCGCCACCCCGGAGCACTCTATCTCGAGTTTTGATGGCAGCCGCCAACTTCCCCATGTCCAAATCCAGGCCTGGTAGGCACGCAATGGGAATCATGGTTCCTGATGGTTACCGGGTTGAAGCCAGTAGCACGCGGCATGGCAGATGACGGAAACATGTCAGGACCCGGCGCGGCTTTCGGGAAAAGAAGGGGAAATAAGGTCTGACTGGAGTCAACAGAAGGTGTGGTGCGTCTTGTTGTGCGAGTGTGGCTACTGCAGGATGGGGTGCTTGACGTTGGGTATGCTGGCCCTGCCAACTGATGATACCCTCCCTGAGAACATTATCGTATGTGGATGTGGGAACACGGCATATGGGGAACGTGTGGGTAGGGCAGCGTGGCTTAAGATCGTAGCATGCCATAGCGAGGAAAGTGTATGATGCTTGGATGAGAGTCCACCTTGGTGATGTGAGAATGTAATGAGGTCGGTTCGGAAGGACGCCAGCTGTAAGCCTACCCTATGCTGGCACGCTGGTTGCAGTCAGTGGTGCTGGGTGTGTCTGTTGGATGCCAGAATGCTATTGTCAAGTGCGGTCAAGGCATTCCTCGGCTTCAGATTGGTCTGTTAGAGTACCCGAGGGGTGCGCTGCAGGGCATGACAGACGTGGAACAAAGCAGGACAGGAGGGCAAAGGGAAGGGGAAAAAAGAAAGGAAAAAATTAAGGCGACCGGATTCCATTGATTGCCTGTCACTGACGGGCAGCCCGCTGGCCGTTGAAGCGGATGGAAGTGTGCAACGAGTCGGTGAAAGTCCCTGCGCGCACGCGGTAGGGCGGCAGGGTACCCTGGGATACGTACCGACCTGGCCCCAACAGCACGGCGCGGTTGCCATTCGGTATCGACCGATTTCGACTCCTTCTCAGCCCATTCCCGCTCACTCCCCAAATTTATCATCAGACCCTTGGCCCAAACATGGCAGCATGCGCCGTCATGTTGCCTTTCCGATTTGAAATGTGGCCATGTAGGTATATATCTCTTTTTCAGCGCCCCGTTTCCCCCTCCTTTCCTACCAAGCCCTTGGTTTGATACGTCTATCCTGCCTGCCTGTCTGCTCTTCAGCGGATCCCCGTCCACTTACACACCCATCACACCAAAATCCGTCTCATCTGCTGCCACCAGTACAACTACTCTTACACCACCACACCCCCCGACCATCCGTCTCTTCCTCTCGTCTTACTATTACTACCGCCTCTCCTACGGTTTTCGAGAGTTGCGCAAATACAAACCTTTTCTACTCACTCGCCTTCTTCTCGAGTGCGTCTATTGCCAACCAGCAAAAACAACCGAAACAAGAGCGACCCGCCGCTCGCCCATCGATATCCACGGTATCAGACACTAGCCGTCTCAACGAGACCGCCGCCCAACAACACATATTACGACAGCAAAGCTGCTTGGAAAAACCACCCTTTATGGCTGCGCATCTACCTACCATCAACTTCAACCCTTTAGCACCCGTCACGCCTCCCCCCGAACATCTCTCGTTCCGAAAGCCCGCCCTTCCGCTGTCTGCTCAACTGAAACGCAAGGCTGCCGAGGCCAACCTCGACGACCATAATGTCCCGATGAAGAGGGAGTCGCCATCGCCGTCAAGCTCCCAGCCTACAGCTCAGGCGAAGCCGACCTCTATTCCGACACCAAGCCCGGACCCCAGTCAGCCACCGATGGACCCGAGATACGTCGCCATGGTATCACGCATTGCCGCCTACTACCAGCAACGGTGCCAGGCCATTTCCAATGCACAGCAGCAAAGGTGTCAGGCTTGGGCAAACATGCACAGGCAAAAGTGCCAGGAAATGATGCAGGCTGCCATGTTGGTCGTGGCGTGGTACATTCGCGACCGGATTCAGCGGAGACGCCGGAGGCAAAAGCGCCATTTCCGGTCGGGGTTAAGAGCACAGAGCACCCGTTCCCGAGTGGCCAAGGGCGAAGGTGTCCGGCGCTGGGTCATGAATATCCCCGAGGGTCTTCCGTCGCCGCACATCCCGGCGCTAGACGACCTTGCTGACCAAGAGGAGGCTCATTTCTCCATGGACAAGGAGTCCCCACCAGACAAGGACTCCAAGCTGTTCGAGATGGCCGACGGAATGATCAGGAGCCAGTACCGCAAAATCGAGGTGCCCATTCTCGGCGTGCTCGGCTTCGAGGAAAGCGAGAGCGAGAGTGAGAGCGAGGCCGACGACGACTTTGACCAGCCCTTGGATGACGAGCTCGAGGAGGGCGAGGTGGAAGACTACGATGATGAGGAGGACGACCTCGACCTGTATGAAGATGAGGATGAGGAAGACGGCTCGGAGGTTGTTCACAAAGGCACCGGCACCGGCACTGGAAGCCGGGCCAAGGACTCGGGTCTGTCATCTTGATTTGGAACGGCACGGACGGTGTTGGAGGCGCATCTTTACTCATTTATTTTTCGGGGTTTCTACGGTGTTACGGGCATGGACAATGATGTGATGATTGGTTGTTACCCTGGGCGATCTGCATACCTCACTTTCTGGCTACTACGAAGTATAAATATCCCGCATCCCGTCGATAGGAAACAAGATGAATATTTTCTACACATTTCAAGAACAGTACAAAGACCAGTTCATCTTATTGCGAGTGCACGCTTTCAGATCGGGCGAACATCGTCCTATTGTGAGCCGTGACCACTTAAGCGAGATGGGTCAGTAAACCTTAATTGGTTGACATCTGCTGATATTCTGGAAGCTTTTTGGCGCCGCGAAATGCACCAAGATGGATCTCGAACCACTTCCACGTTGCCTTCTGTTTTCGCTTGGAGCCGTCCCCATCCGCCGAGCTTCCGTCGTCGCCCCGATCCATGGGGTTTCCGATCAATTTCTCGGTCAACCGTGGATTCCGGACAACAAATCGCCCTTCGGCTGGTCGGTCATCTGGGGCAGATGGGCCACGAGGGCATTCCGAATCGCGATCGTGCCGCATTTCGCTTGATGGGGATACGATGCTGCACGATGACTTGATTTCCCCAGATATCCACCCCGACTAACAGCCCATACATACAGGCGAATGCATCGCTAAAACACGCGGACAGGACGATGTCTCCCAAGGTTGCACCTCATGTGTACTGAGTCTTGTGGAACTGCTGTGCAACTGTTGTGCAACTCTACTCGCATACAGATGACCTTGAATACTACTGTCTTCTTCTTATTGATGTGTTTGTGGCAGGAGGTTGCACTGGCTGTGCATTCTGGTTTCGTCACCTGCCACGACCGCAGCACCACCTTGCAACCGTGATTTCCCTGCCGTTCTGGTCGGCGACATGATTACCAGCCGTCGCCAAGGCAGGAGTTAGGGCAACAGCGACAGCCGGAAGTGGCCGCAAGAAGGATCGTCAAGAAGAGTAGCAGGAATGTGCAATAGTTGGGAGCAACAGTCTTGAACAGTTTACCTCGTCATTTGCCGTTTCGCCTTTTCGCTCTGGCAATATCCCAGTATCTCGCCTTCCGAAGCATCATAGAATTGACCAGCAGGAAGGCGACGAGGCATGCATGCCTCCGGAACTCTACATACCAGCTGCCTTTCGACCCCAACGCAGCTGCTCAACGTCGAAGGTTTCTAGTCAACATGGCAAGCGCTCTCTTCGCGAGTTACCGATGGGTTTTATTCCGTCATGAATTCCATCACCACTCCTTCAACGGCCCTCTGTCATATCGCGTCCTGCATCGTCAACCTTGTGCATCGTGATCGCACTGCCTAGGGTACCTCTGCGGCGTGGCTTGTCTGTTCTCATTCTCTTTTCGTATCCTTACCAGCCTATTCTGCCGAATCACTAGTCATCTGTTCTATCCAGTCCTTCTCCGCATCCATCACCTTCCTGTCTTAGACTCTGGGCGTTGGATTACCAAGTCGACGAGATGAGGTAAGACACACATTCCCGGTGCCAAACGACCTTATCCGCCGAGGAGCTCGGTGCTGCGCCGGCTATCAAGGGGGATCGCATGACGGCTGCGTCACCCTCCATCACACGCCCACCTACACCCAACCCCCCCGCACTTTGGCTGCACCGGCCTGTCCCCGCACGCTCCCACTGGCTGTGTTTCAGTGGTCGCCCAGCTGCGCCAGGGTGTTCCCGTGCTCTGCCTTAGCTCCCCCCGGGAGCTTCGAGTCCGTCTTGCTTTCAAGGAAAGCTAACCAGACATCCTTTTCGCAGTGACCAAAACAATCAAAGACTCTCAATCAGTATATGAACGACGCCCTGAGAGCTTCACAAGCTATTGATAAGGGTGCATCATCTCCATCACCCACCCCAAGGCCAACCCATCACCATCTCACGGAGCTCCAGCGCAATCGTCGCCTGAACAATCGCTCAGCTCCACCCAGCTCCCTCAATCGATTGAAACAGACCGGCAAGCACGCCCTCGACAACACTTCAGGACAGCCCACTATGGGTGGCGGCAGAGAACTCAAGAGCAAGAGCGACTACCCAGCTCTGGCCCAGCGGCCCGTCGGACAATGGATCTCCAATATCTACAAGGAGAGAATTAACCAATTCTACTCCAGCGGACAATGGGAGAAATACAACCTGCTGGCGTACGTGAACCCCACTGCGCCCCGTACCCCATCTGGGGAATATTCAGCTAATTGTAGACCAGGATGATGACGGAGGGCACCGCGTCAGGCGAGCCTCATGTCAAGCTGTCCGTCTGGGACGCTCCTGATACCACTCGGCCGACGTTCGAAGACGCCGTATCGCACGAATTCAAAAAGACCGAGGTTGGCGCTTGGTTTGGACCGTCCTGGTCCACCCACTGGTTCAAGGTCGTTCTGACCGTACCAGAAGAGCTGCGTGACAAGGAGCTGCTTGAATTGCACTGGGACGCCAACAATGAGGGCTTAGTCTGGACTGAAGACGGCAAGCCGCTCCAGGGCCTCACCGGAGGCGGCGAACGTACGGAATGGATTCTGCCGAAGGAGTTTAAAGACGGCAAGGAGCACACCATTTACATCGAAATGGCCTGCAACGGCATGTTCGGCAACGCTCCCGGCGGAGATTCTATCCAACCCCCGGATCCTAACAAGTACTTCCAGCTCGGTAAGGCCGACATTGTCGCCGTCAACCCCCAGGCGAGAGCCCTCTGGATCGACACCTGGATCATTGGGGATGCTGCTCGCGAGTTCCCCAAGGAGTCCTGGGAGCAGCATAAGGCCCTCAAGGTCGCCACTGATATTATTGACGCCTTTGAGCTCGGCAATAAAGACTCCATTCTGAAGTGCCGAAAGATCGCACAGGAGTACCTTGGTCCAGATGTCGACTCTCACAAAGTCTACAGCACCGACAAGGACCACCAGGTTTACGGCATTGGCCACTGCCACATTGACAGCTGCTGGCTGTGGCCATGGGCTGAGACGAAACGCAAGGTTGTGCGATCTTGGTCTAACCAATGCGATTTGATGGACCGCTATCCCGAATTGCACTTTGCGTGCTCGCAGGCTCAACAATACAAGTGGCTCAAGGAGCTATACCCCTACGCGTTCGATCGCGTCAAGACGAAGGTCAAGGAGGGCAGATTCCACCCGATTGGTGGCAGCTGGGTTGAGCACGATACCAATATGCCCAGCGGTGAGTCTTTGGTCAGGCAGTTTCTCTATGGCCAGCGCTTCTTTGAAAGCAACTTTGGCGAGCGCTGCCAGACCTTCTGGCTCCCTGATACCTTTGGATACTCTGCCCAGCTTCCCCAGCTTTGCCGCTTGGCTGGAATGAGTCGCTTCCTCACCCAGAAACTGAGCTGGAACAACATCAACAATTTCCCGCACACCACTTTCAACTGGGTTGCTCTTGACGGTAGCCAGGTCATCTGCCACATGCCGCCTTCCGAGACCTACACTGCCGAGGCCCACTTCGGCGACGTAAAGCGAAGTGTCAGTCAGCACAAGTCCATGGACCAAGACCACACCTCACTGCTTGTCTTTGGTAAGGGTGACGGTGGCGGCGGCCCTACCTGGCAGCACCTTGAGAAGCTTCGCCGATGCCGCGGTATGTCCGATCAGGTTGGCATGCTGCCTAGAGTGCACATGGGAAAGACCGTCGATGACTTCTTTGACAAGTTGGAGCCCAAGGCCAAGACGTTCGTGACTTGGTACGGCGAACTATACTTTGAGCTTCATCGTGGTACCTACACTACTCAAGCTAACAACAAGTACAACAACCGCAAGTCTGAAAGCTTGCTCAGGGACATTGAGTGGCTTGCCACGATTGCCACTCTGAGCGACAATGGAAAGGACTACAAATATCCCAAGAAGGAGATTGACGATATGTGGGAGGCTGTCCTCCTCTGCCAGTTCCATGACTGTCTCCCTGGCAGTTCCATTGAAATGTGTTATGATGACTCTGATGAGGTGAGCACTGCCTTTCGATCCACCGTCGAATCCGCTAACTTTGGTAGCTTTACGACAAAGTGTTCAAGACGGGCGAGAAGATCCTCAAGGATCTCCACAACGTTCTCGGCGTCTCTACCACCACCACTGGTCGCATCAGTGAGACCGTGGCCTTGAATACGCTCCCTTGGCACCGAAGAGAGGTTGTCGAGATTGCCGAGAACGAGGCTGGTGTGGCTTGCGGAGATGGACAAATGCTTGCCATTCGCCCCTTCAAGGTCGATGAGGAGAAGCCAGCTGTCACAATCGAGGAGGTCAGCGATGGTGTCTTCGTGCTGCAAAATGACCAGCTCCGTGTCAAGGTCGAAGATGGTTACATCACCTCCTTGTATGACCGCATCGCTGATCGCGAAGTCATTGAAAAGGGAGGCAAGGCAAACCAGTACGTCGTCTTCGACGACAAGCCCCTTTACTGGCAAGCGTGGGATGTTGAAGTCTACCATCTTGACACCAGGAAGGAGCTCACCTGCGGGAAGACCTCCATTTCCGAGCAGAAGTCACACCGTGTCAGCCTGACGACGGAGATCAAGATCAGCGAGCAAAGCTCCTTGAAATCCACGATTACTCTCTCAGCTGCTCTTAAGGGAGTGCAATCATGGGTTGAGTGCCACGCTGAAGTCGATTGGCACGAGGCAATGAAGTTCCTGAAGGTCGAGTTCCCCGTCGACGTCAGAAACACCGAGGCATCCTATGAGTCGGCATATGGCGTCGTAAGACGCCCTACCCACTACAACACAAGCTGGGACATGGCCAAGTTCGAGGTCTGTTGTCATCGGTTCGCTGACTTGTCCGAGCACAACTATGGTGTTTCCATCCTCAACGACAGCAAGTACGGATTTGCCACCGTTGGCAACTTGATGCGCCTCTCGCTTCTGCGATCACCAAAGGCCCCTGACGGCAATGCCGATATGGGCACACACCAAATTCGCTGGGCCATCTTCCCTCACGAGGGTAATCTCAGCTCGTCGACTGTCCGCGCGGCTTACGCTTTTAACAACCCTCTGAGGTTGCTCTCAGCGCCGGATGCTGCGCAGTCGACCCTAACGAAGAGCCCAGTCACCCTCACTGGAGACGGCTCTTTGGTCCTCGACACTGTCAAGCGTGGCGAGGACGACGAGGATGTCACTCGTGGTGACCTCCCCAAGCGCAAGGGCCGCAATGTCATCCTGCGCGTATATGACAGTCTTGGTGGACAAAGCAAGGGTACCATTGAGACGACTTGGGACGTCAAGCGCGTCTACAAGTGTAACTTGCTTGAGGATGACCTCGAGGAGATCAAGATCGACGATGGAAAGTTCAACATCACCTTGCGACCGTTCGAGATTGCATCGTACCGTCTGGAACTGTAGAATGAATGCCTCAGCGACTGCGGTCTCGACCATGAATGCGACTCGGACATTGCCGAAGTCGACGAGATTGCGACGCCATTTGATGACTTTTGAGAAGCATAAAGACGACCTTGGCGGTGTGATTCGGCACCTAATGAGTGATGGATGGATAACAGGAGATGAACATGTTCCTGACTGGAGTCTGGGAACGTGTTAATACCTATGTAAAACAACACTTGAAATCAGAATGACTCTAGTTCCTTGATCCTACATGCGCCCGCCCCAGAACGCCGCGGTGACTTTGAAAAAGCCTTGCAAATTCCCCGGGAATAATTGTGAACAGATCATAATACAATACACGATTCGAACCCAAACTTTTTCGTTCACAGCGAACCCTCCTGAGGCAGCTCCTCAATGACGGTTTCCACCATATCAATAAGCTCGTCAATGTCTGGCCTCTCGGCAGGCTCGACCTTGAGACATTTCCTCACAACCTCGCGGATGGGCTCGCTGATCTTGGGCTCGTTGGCTGATGCGCCACCGTTGCCCGAATCGACGGCCTTGCCCTTCATGCCCGTGCCGGTGCGCCTGACGCCCTCGTCGGGGAAGCGCCAGTCGCCGCCGAGGACGCAGAGACTCAGCGAACCGCCCGTCTCGTCGGAGCGGGCCTCGAAGGGGGACTTGCCGACGAGGCATGCGTACAACGTGCAGCCCATGGACCAGATGTCCACCTTTGTGTCGATCACGGTGCCCGTGCGTACGTCGAAGAGCTCCGGGGCGCGGTAGGGCATGGTGCTGTGCTCGGCTGCGGTGTCTTGTGTCGCAATGGCGAGGGAGTGCGAGGTGATTGCGATTGGGGACGGGGCGATGGAGCCAAGATCCATCAGGATCGGGTTGGAGCCCGAGTCGTCAATCATGATGTTTCCTGTTTCGCCATACCTGTTAGTTCCCGGTACTTAGAGAGTGTGGCCGCGAATAGAAGCTTACCGGGCTTGATGTCGCGATGCGAATACGACTTTACATCGCCCGACCCGGGCGTCTCCCCCTCCATCAAGGGCCTCTGCTGGTCCTCCTCGTCCTCGTCGTCCGCGCCTCCTGCCGCGGCGCTCGTGACCCTGTTCCCGCCCTTGTTCTTGCCCTTCTTCCTCTTGCTGTTGTTCTCCGTCGAGTCCTCCTCGTCGCCGTTGCCCATCTCCATGCGCTCCATGGCAACCGGCGGGCCGCCGCTGTACTTGTGCATCGCGCGGAGGGCCTTGCAGACGCCGAGGAACAGCAGCATGAGGCGGCGCTCGGGGAACGCGGTGTGGTTGACGAGGTTGGCGTTGATGAGGTCCTGGAGGTTGCCGCGGCGGTAGTAGGGCAGCAGGACGTAGACGGTCTTGGAGCCGGGCTCGCCGCCGCGCTCGGTGGCGATGGCGTGGTCCGCGGCGTGGATGATGCCAGGGACGCGGGCGAAGAGGCGGTAGGCCTCTACCTCCTTCATCGCCTGGGCGACAGACTCGGCGCCGAAGGGGCATCGGATCTTCTTGAGGGCGAATTCTTCATTGGTCGATGTGTCTTGGACGAGGTAGACGTAGGAGAAGCCGCCCTGTGCGAAGGGGAGGGGTTCATTAGCTGCTGGGCCAGTCACTGGAGATGCGGAGGTGGGCTTACCTCGCCGAGGAGACGGAGGATCTTGAAGTTGCGGCTGTTGATCTTGAGGGTCGGGGAGCCGGGGAAGCAGTTTAGGCAGTTCCCGAAGGAATAGACGATATCGAGGAGCATTTGCGCCATGGTGGGCTACTTTCAATTCGACAATTCGAGGATGCGATTTGTATGATGCTGTTGCGGTTTCGAGGTTCGTCCGGGGGAGGGTCTTCTCTCTCTCGCGGCGGAATCGGGGTTTCAGACAGTTGGGAGTCCAATCACACACAGCTCCTCGTTGGCGGTAAACAGTTTAGAAATGGTGAAGCGATCACAACGGACGAAAGCAAGAAGGAAGAAGTAAAAAAAAAAAAGGAAAAGAGTTGCACAGCCTCGATGCGAATTGAGGTTACGTTGACCTTTCCGCGCGCGCGTCACTGGGCTCCGTGAAGAATCAGGAACGGCAGAGCAGCAGTGGACAGCTATTAGCTCTCACCACCCCGGCAACCGTGAGTGGGCAAGGAGCTGACGCAGGTCCGTTAAAAAAAAAAAAAAAGAAGCCAAGGATGGGTACGGTAGTACGTCAGGTCCCAGTGCCGCTCTGTAAGTCGCTTTCGGGGAACGCGGGATTGCGTTCTAGTGTATCCGCCGGAACCGCGCGAAAGGTGACGCAAATAGCAAAGGCGGGTTGCAGAAGATGACGAGAGTCGATGGAGGATGTGAGGATAGACGCGCGATCTGAGGTTGTGAAAGTACTGCAAACTTTGAGACGTGGGAGGCGATTGAACGGGAAACATCAGATCAATTGCTCCTGCTGCTGCTGCTGCTGCAGGTTGCCGCCCTTCTCATCCAGTGAGTGGTGCTTGTACTGGCTGTGCCATGCCCGGCTGAGCTAAGGATTCGTGCGCAGAGACCTTGAAACGCCACGGGGACCTCCTTCTGGCTGGTGGGGAACACCCTACAAACCCAACTCGGGAGACGGCTTTGAACGCTGAGCAGCCCCGGCCGCTACCGACGGGAAGACCCCTGCCGTCCGAATGCAGCCCGTCCCTTCAGCAAGTGCTGGCAGCCGGCATCAGATTTCGAGAATAATTCATCACATGCGACAGAGCCATCGGTTAGTTGTCTGTAATCTGTAGTAGGATCTTCTTATTTTTAAGGTCTACTATTAAGATGTTGTAGAAGCCTTGTGGCTTCAGTATCAAAAGCCCACGGCCATTGTGTCGTCTCCTCCACTCCTCCTGCGAACTGTGGTATCATCGCTACAAATGCTATGACAAACAGAAAACTACTACCGCTCTGCCACCCAAAATCCTACACAACTCCTGCCCATCGTACAGGCTGGCCTCTCCAGGCGATTCAAGACGATATAACAATGAGACCAAGACTTGACCATGAAAAAGTGGCGGGCTTCCTTCGCTTCCAAGAGTAGAAGTCAATACCCCTAGAACGCATCTTCGAACGGACAATCGACACTGTCGTGCCCGTCTCTCTCGCAAAGGGCGCACCACTTGGAGTTGTCCACCACGCCGCTATCCTTGCCAGCAACAGGTCCATTATCCATGGGGTTGGGCAGGATCTTGACGACGGGAGGAGCAGCAGGCAGGGTAGCTGGGGGAGAAGATGATGCCTTGGGCCTCGGCGACAACGGAGGGGGCTTGTGCTCATCGTCCATAGGCTTCAACGCTTCTCTTGTCACGTCCTTGATAGACCTCCCGTCACCATTGGTCTTGCCGCTGTCTGTGCCGAACATGTTGGTGCAGGTGAGAATGTCGTGACCGCCAGTCTCGCAGATCTCGCACCAGAGAGTGCTATTCTCGGTGACTGATGAGTAGGTATCGCTCTCAGGCATGGTGTCCAAGGTGCGGCCACGCTTATGCGTCGCCTCGGGGGATCGAGGCTCGTTGTTCCGCGTCAATACCACGGTGTCACGTGAGTCGCGGAGTGACGAGCGCTGGGCGCCACCGTTTGTCATGGAACCAGATCGTTGAGTTGTGGCGCTACCCCTACGCAGCATCTCCACCTCTCGCTCAAGTTCCTCCTCGCGGTGGTGCTTGTCCTTGACAACAGCACGAAGCTCCACGAGCTCTCTCTCCAACTTCTCGCGCGCCACAGCATTCTCGCGGATCGAAGGGTCTTCCGGTTTCTCGGCATCGGGAACAGAATCTCGACTGAGGGAGTGGATGATAGCCTTCAGCCCTCGAATCTCGTCTTCCTTCTGCTCGAGTTCCTTGGACACAGAAGCCCGATCGCCGTTTGATGGGCCTCCGGGGCCATTCATCGTAGCCGAGGCTTTCTCGCGTTCGCGGCGCAGCTCGGTACGCGTTCGCTCGACTTCACCGCGGAGGAATTCAACCTCGCCTCTGGCTTCGGCTTCGCCACGTCGTGCATCTTCGAGGCCCTCCTCCAATTCTTGTACCAGCTCCTCAAGCTGCTTCAATTGCCGGGCAACCACATCCACATCATCAGTGCGAGACTCGAGCTCTCGAATCTCTCCCATGAGTTCGTCGATGCGTTTTTCATACACTCGTTCAGTCTCAGTACTAGCCATCTCCAGGGTATCGATGGTGCTGCGGAAGTCGGCTCGATGCGCATCGAACTCGGCCGTAAGCATGGCGATCTTGTCGTTCTTTTCTCTAACCAGCATTCGAAGTTGCGCGGAGTCCTTATCGTCGAGACTATTTCGTTTCATGGCTGTCATGTCGGAGTTCTCCATTAGTGTCTGCAGCTCAGTAAGACTGCTTTCCATCTCTGCTAACGTGGCTGCTTGGTCTCTCAACTGTCTCTCACGATCCTCAAGCTGTGTCCTCAACCGTTCCACCTCATGGTCATTGGTGGCCCTCGATGCTGCTCTGGAGCCCGCGCGCGAAGGAACCCGAAATTGTGAGCTATATGACGAGACCGACGTTACGCTTCCGTTTGTTTTGGTCCGCTGCAAGGCTGTGGGCGTGGCTTCCTCGTCAAACAGACCCAGGGCAGAAGCACTGCGAGGTCCCACGCTAGGTTTCCTGTCGAGTCTGCCGGGTGCCTTGCTAGGATCCCCAGCCGTTCCACGCACGCTCTGAGCAAATCTATTGCCAGTGGGAGACGTGTACTTGGAAGGGACTCTGTTGGGGGTTGCGAGTGAAGGCCTCGGCCCAGGCGTCATTTGCAGTTTGCGCGACGGCGACTCTGGGCGCAGGGAGGGTTTGCTTGGCTTCTTCAGTCCAGGACTAGTAGAACGTCCAATGCCAGGACCGACGGATTTGCTAAAAGCGGGCAGCGATGGCGTGGGAGGAGTGAAGTTTGTCGAGTTCTGGTTGCCGACTTTCAGGCCGCCCAAAGTGCTCGCCGTGGGTGTATGTGGGAATGAGCTCGCGGAGGAGCCGGGAGGAGAGTCTCGCCTTACAGCCTTGGTT